TTTGTTGGAGGAAGAAAAATTTGCAGGGAACCTGAGATTCAGCTGTGCTGAGTCTTTTCCCACTTAACAGGCCATAACTGCTGTTGTCAGTACAGGTGCCTAGTGCCACCTACAGCAGGTGCTAACGTTATTTACATAAATCAGTGCAATGAATTACTGCTGGTGGTGTAATAATTTAGAAATGACTCACAAAAAAACACCTAACCCTGACCTATGCAATAGAATAACCAAACCAATATTTTACACCTTATATTGCCCATTCAGAACTGGTTTTTTTTTCAGCAGTTCTGAACAATCCAAAAAACCTCTGCAGCAACTGCGCATGCTGAGCACTGCTGAAAATCTGCACCTAGAAACTGAATATAGAGTGAGCCAAGCTTTCAGTTTGCAGGGCAGAACTGGACTTAGAACTATATTAAGCAAATTTTTTTGTTGATAAAATAAAATAGCATAAAAATTCTGTGAAAATTCTACTGGATCCATTTTTTAAAAGTACACTTTAATTTCATTAGGGGAGAGCATAACAGTAAACCCATTAGTGATAGACACTTAGTGTATTGTATTCCAAACAGGAAACAAGTAATTCAATACACAGCTAATAGAACAAGAGAAGACAAATACCTCTGGGTGATTTATCAGGTAAATTACAGATCATTTTGTCAGGAAGAAAAGCATAGCGGTTATAATCTATTTCCATGATATGCATACTAGATTATTCATGTAAATTACCTATTAATGCATTTTTCTGGTATATCAGAGAAGATTCCTTTTTCCAACTATTTTTCTTCTAAACTCTACTCACTTATGCTTTTTTTTTCCTATGTAAAATGATTAATATTCATTCAGTAGAAATGCTCATTTGAATAAAAGGACAGAGGGATCCTTGAGGGAAAAACTGGGCAAACTGAGGACAATGCAGAGAACTTCACATTCCAACAGTCTAATGATTGCCAAAGGTTTTGGAGGCATTTCTTCTGCCTTAGAGCCTACATCACTAATTCTCTCATTGTTGTCACCCTATTCTTCTTGCCTGTCTATATCCATCTGGTTTTCCTCATCTTGTGTTTAAATCATAATCTCTTTGTGACAGCAGATTGTTGCTTTATTCTGCCTGTGCAGTGCTTAGCACAGTGGAATTGCGGCCCGTGAGCTCGTAAGACCCAAGGTAATGCAAACAAGGGACGACATTGGTATTAATACAGTACACCATATTGCTTTTTCACAAAGTATAAATGTGAGTTTCTCCTGCATGCTCACAAGAGATAGTATAAAAAAGGGGAGGGGAAAGAGCTGGCTACAGCTTGAAGGCGAGCAGGATTTAGGGCTGTAGAGAAAAAGCAGGCAGTCTTCCTGCCTCCTCCATCCCACCTTCCCCACTGCCCAACTCCATTTCAGTTTTGCCTGCATTGTATGAAGAAAGCTCAGGAAGAGCCTTCTGACTCAACCCACTTATCTAACCATGTGTAACACTTTGCTTCTTGTAAATTCATGTGGCAGCTCCCATGGGCAGACCTGCCTTTCAGAAAACCCCTAGACCCTTCTCCGATGGTTTAGAATGTGATATATTTTTCATTACTGAGACAATGGGGCTATGTACACAAGCACAGAAAGCTGCCAAGCAAAAATGATGTGCTGTTAATAAGGTCATAGCTACATCTCCTGACAGGGGTTGCTGACTTCTTAAAAATAAGAAAAAACCCCAACCCTTATATGTCTTCTCAGCCTTTGTATCATAAGCCTTAGAAGGATCACAAACTGGGATGAGAGGGTCACCCCACTACTGGATGGGAATAGGCAGAAGCTCCATTTATCACCAAAGCACAAAGTTCCTGCTATCACAGCACGGATGGCAGGCTCTGTCCCTGCCAGCCAGGGTCAGCTGAAAAGCTCAGGTCTCCCCTTAGAGCTGGAGAGAGAATCAGGAGATCTTTGGCCAAGTCACAAGCTCAGTACATGCAGACCTCATTCTTTGGGAGAGATCTTGGCTTTCCTTCCTTCACAGAGACATCTCATGTAACCAGATACCTTAAGCTAGTATTGATTTATCTCTTCTCATCCTTTTATTGATTGCCTAGAGGAGCACACACTTGCTGTGGAAAGGAAGTCTCATTTTACAGACTGAAAACAAAGGCAGAAAAAAGGTCAGTGGTAACTAAGGTAAGAGGAGTCTTTCTTTCCACAAATCTAACACTTGGAGCAGGCTGGGATCCTCCAGTCAGCCCAGTTTACCAGCTCAGCCTGAGAGCATGTCCAGTGATTCCAAAAATGAGGCCAATAAGTGTCCAAACTTAGCAGCAGAGACAGTGGAATTATAAACCCTCTGAACTGCACCAACAAAGGCCATATGTTCCCCTGCCTCAAATGCGTCATAACACAGAGTCGATTATGACAAAGAATGCTGCTTGTGAAATGTGCACTTAACATTACATTGCACAGCGTACAGAGTAACATGGTGAAAGAGAAGACATTTGGCAAAAAAGGTGAGATATTGCTGTACTGTCAAATTAATACTATTTCATACTTTCTGTTAGTCTCCCTTTTCTGACTAGTGGGGGGACCTTAAATATTCTAGTGGGTGCAGGATCAGTAATGTAAACAAATTGTTTTAATTAAAACAGAGCATGTTTTTCTGCAGAAATTTCAGAGTTTAACTCTTTGAATGCCTGGTTGCTTTCAGTCTTGCTAGGCTTCTGTGAGTTTCCTACTTCATCTTCTCTCTTCCCTCCCACCACAATGGTTATAAGATGGACTCCCTACTAATAAAATTCACAAGAGAGAAAGAATGGATAACCCTGGATTTTGGCAGTACCCCTGAGAGAAGCCTGATCAGGAAAGAAATCGGAAGGAAATAGCTTAGTTTGCTACAAACGAATGTACTGTTTCTGCTCGCTTCTTTCCAATACATAATCAGGGTCACTCACAGCATTAAACAGAGAGCAATAATTACATTATCCAGTTGTGCTTCCCTAGGGTAACTACAAAATAATGTGCTCATTCTCATCCAACAGAGAATGAGGCTTCTTGTTTTTCTACAGATACCATCTTCCTTATCCAAGACATCATTATTAATTGTCATCTGATTGCACTTGTATTCTTACAAAACCACATGGGTTTTATCTTTTGACAGACATGAGGGAGCTTCTCTAAAGCACCATTTAGAATAACAGGCTTTTAGATCTTCATGGTTTTATTCTTTTTCATTTGAAGCAGAAACTCAGACCTCATAGCACAAAGATGTGTCATAGATTTTCCTGGCTCTATTTTTTAGATAAGTCAAACTGGAAAAGTTTATAGAACTGTGACACATGTTTTCCTTTTATAATATACTTCTCTACTTTTTGGCCATTCTGTACTAGCATGGGACTGTCATGATTCTTCCTAACGGCTGTGTGGTTTAGTCCCTGTGGCTTGTTTCCCACAGCGGAGAAAGAAGACCTACCATTAAGCATCTCACCACCATGGGCTCTTCATCACACAACCCACATCTCCACATGGCCATCTTTTCCAAGCAGCTCTATTGTTCCTGAGTAACTCCTGCAACATCACAACCTCCATTTCCTTGGGAGCCTGCAGAAATGTCCCTCCAAAAATTAGCCTAATAGATGTCAAAGTTTATTCATAAAGGGCTTCTCCTCACTCTAAGAAATAATCAGGCTTGGTACTGACTTGAAGAGCTTGGCTTGTGTTCTGTTTTGTGCTTAAGCAGAATCTCTGGCAAGTTGCACAAATAAATCTAAAATCAGTGGCTAAAAAAATTGACTCTATGCCAACAGGAAGAGCAAGAGCTTGGGGAGTTCCTGATGATCTCACCCTGGAAACACAAACCCAGGCTGTGGGGGATCTCTGACAACTGATACCTAACAGTTTAAAGACAACAACACGTGAAGCAGCATTATGTTACTTGAAATAACAGTCCACAAGAGTGGTCTTAAAAGATTCTTGTAGAAATTACTTAGAGTGAAGCAAAGAAAGAGTTAATAATAGTAATGACCATGAGGTTCTGTGGGAATATTTTTCTTGGCAAAGCCTGTAGAACCAGTTATTTTCCTTATCTGTAAATACTTTCTCAGACTGTATCAAATGAGAAAGTCGCTGGCTAGTGGTTGGGAGGGGATTCAATGACTCAGCAGAGGACTATGTTTGTTCTGCCACAAAGGCCTTTCATTCTCATCTGTCTGAGTGCCAGCTTTGTAAGCTGGACAATTACTTCTTTCTAGATGACAAAAACATTGAGTTAATTACACAGGAAACTAGTAGCGATGACATGAAATCAATTTACATGTAATAATAATTTGTTGCCTATCATCCCTAAACAATCCAGATGTTAAAAAAAGGTAAAAAATTCCTTTTACACCTTGATTTTAAAAATAGACTACTGGGCTTAAACCTTTTTTTAAGGCAATAACCAAGCTTTCCCCTGACTGTTGTGTCCATCAAAACATTTAACATCCAGTGCCTTCTTACTATGATCCCCATTTATGTTATGGCCAGCTAACCAGATTGATACCCAAAATCAGTAGAGATCACCACAGTGGTGTCTGGGGGGAACCCCAATCTTAACTGAACTTAACACTTTAGTTTTTAAAAAGGTGTGAGGTGAACTGCAAGGGAATAGAAATTGAGGATAGATGGAAAGGTGGCATTTTTAGTGCACCACCAACCTTTGACTACAGAAGAATGAGAGTTTTCAGGTATTGCCAGGTTTCCTCCAAAAGAGAGGCCTTTGGGTGCTGCTAAGCCTTCAGTCACCCAAGAACTGTCTGTGCCTTCAGAGAGGCAGGAAAAGGTTAGCAAAGAATAAAAGGAATCAGCTCAGCACTAGGGCTGGAATGCAGGGACCCCATAAGCCTCCTACTTAGCTTAGTTCACTCAATTTTTACAAAATCAGAAACAGTCTTCTGCTTCCAGCACCCCTAATGAGTGAGACCATAACTGCTCCTCACCGAAGGAAATTACTTACCAGCAGATTCTTGGGGTTATGAGTCTGATAATACTCTTACCTAAGGTCTCCCTGAAAGATGCTTTCCATCCCCTGTCTGCTCCAAAGAAGTCAGTGTTAAACACCACGAACAAGTTATTACTGGCGCTCTTAATATTCGGAGGCAGTTCTGAGCCACAGAATTTCCCGAGAAGAGGAGCATGGGTGTCTGAGCCGTCATATACAGCCACATAATCTTTGTAGCAGGAGGGAGATATTTCAAGCTGGAAGCTATTGAACCTGTAAAATACACTTGGAGATTTAGGTATCACATTTTCATTTCTATTCCTGTGCTATGTGTGTTTTTAGTGCTTGAGGAAAGGTCTGAGTAATAGCAATGGCCAAAGCCATACACAGACAGATACCACAAAACATTTCTCTTCAGGAACAAGCAAGCAGAACTATTAACTGCATGGCAAAAACACTCCAGCTAACCAGCTTCAAGGAAATAGTGACCCTCATCCACTGGGCCTCTTGCAAGGCAAGCTGTCAGCACACCTCAGCTTTCTGTGAAGCAGCAGATCTCCCCTGTGCAAACATACCCTCTCTCACTTCTGCAAATTGCTCAGCCTGCAATTTCCTTGGGCACGTGAGGGGCATGTAAAGTGCAGGCTCAGAGTGCAGCCCAGCTAGGTCTTCCACTTAGTTGGGAAATGTTCTCTTAATTCACAATCAGCAAATATATGACAGAAGAATGTATCTATCTTTTAATTTCTCAGTGGCAAGATTTTGTGGCAGCCACATCCCTCTTTTAGGCAGGACAGCACACACTCAGAAGTATACTCTTTCTGGGTGGGTATTATTACTTGGTCTGTAAAGTGAGTACCAGTCCTCTAAAAGAATTATTTTTTTTCTTATATCAACTCACAAGCGTCTTGTAACTCCTCAAAGGCTGACAGAATTTAACTAAAAGCATGAGCTGCATTTTCACAATTTCTTAGCCCTCTTGCTAACCAAAGTGGGAAGTTACAATTGTGGTGATGTTTTGCACATAACAAGTTACAGAGAAAGATGTAAGGAAGCCTGAAGTTGATAAAGGGGGCTTCATTTCTCATTTTAGTTCAGCTTTCCCCCTTGGAAAAAGGAAAAATAAAGAGAAAATTGTCAATAATAGCTGTCTTTAATTGGAATCAGAGACCTCCCTTCCCCCTTGATGACAAGCTGAACTTGGATTACATACTTGAGGGCCACTACTTTGCCATTTCCAACTGTGATGTAGTATGAGCAGTTCATGTTGTTGTGATAATCAAGAACTGAATGGGCCGGACTGCTGATAACACCAACAGAGCCATTGAAAATGCCACCACAAGCTGTAGAGGAAACAGAAAAAAAAGAGTGATTACTGTCTGAATACCAGCTTGGTCCTAATTCGCATATTTCTTGCAGGAGCTCTTGTTAGTCCCCTTTTAGCCATAAGGAAAGAAAAGCCCTTGATAAATTAGGAGCAGTCTTCACTGTCATGCCTAAAACTGTTAAATGCAGAGATGTATATCAAGTTGTGCTCTGCAGTGGAATACTAGAGTCAGTATTGAAATAACAGGTTGTTACTATTCCATACCAAATGGCAATGGCTCCATGTTTGTGTAGTAAAAGATTGAGCCTGATTTCAAGTGTTCTACAGACCAGGGAGCAGCGGAATGGGGTGTGCAGCAGAGTGTCAGGTGTATCTGGAGGAACCCTGTACCCGTTCTAGCTTGCTACGAGAAACCCGGCTGATAAGTGGGCAAAGAAATTTCCTCATCCAAATCCCAGCCCCATGGAAGCCTCTGAAAGTTTGGCACTGACACAAAAGCAGCCACCATTGCATGCATAGCCCTGCCCCTGATTTTTCTGGAATAACTGTACACACAGTCTCATCATCCCTCCATCTCCTGTCAGGGCGGGGGTTTTACTGTAGCATTTGTTCTGTGCAGAAAGGCAGAGAGAAGTCCCCAGGTGTCACTAACCCTGGGGACTGTTCCCCACCTCGCCTTGTGCTGGGACTTGCCGGCAGTGGGAGGTGGCTGAAATGGAGGACTGCATACTTGCTCTCTCGCTGAGTAGCAAGTTAAACTCTGCAGCTGTGAACTAAAGGCACTGCTTGGCTTCTCAGGGTTTCACACCATGGATGCTGATGAGGCCAGGATATGGCTAATGTTTGTTCTCAGCTTCAGTGCTTGAGGGAACAAAAACTATTATAAAACCAACTCTAATCTCCATTGTTAGCTTCAGCCTTTATTTTATAATCTTAACTTGGCAAAAAACGTTTCCCTGCGTCCTGTTGATAAATAGCTTAAAGCCATACACAGCTTTTCATGTTTTAAAGGACATGCCATTGTCCTGGCCATGACCTGAAAAAAGGCAGTCCCATACAGGGTGCTGCTGGATACAGAGCGCCTGGTTCCTCAGCCGAGCTCAGGCTGGCGGCCTGGAGCACTGGCAGATAAAGGACAGGAGCCAGGAGGATCAAGAATCAGCATTATTCTACACTAGGAGGGGGAAGCTTTTTTCATTTTTTTTCAGCAAACAATACAACTAGAGGGAAGAGGAATGTTAATTGCTAGAATCTGCTTTATATACAACAATAAGCTAATAAGGCTGCAGTCACGTTTCTCAAATGTCAGAAGTCACAAGTCAGATAGCAGCAACTGACTTGAGTGAGTTATGAAGGTCTTTTCCATGAGTAACTGCACATTGTCATTTCTCAGTGCCCTCTGTCTTATCTGTATCAGGCCATTTATTTTATATAAAGAATTTAGCCTTATGCTTTTTGCTGTGGCTTTGAACATGAGGAATGCATTAAGGGAAATACCAAAGCTAAGAACTCACACTTTTCTCTGCAGATAGAAAATGAAATAGCTTTCAAAAATCAAAGTACTGTCTTTACAAGTTAAACCTAGAAAATATTAAAATTGGTTTTGAAAATAAAATTAATCTTTTGGGATATTTATATTTGTGCAGATGTAAATTTTAAACTCAGTTGGAAACTTCTTTTTCTAATACATATTTCCTCTTTAAAACAAAAGAGATCTCATGTGAATGGCAAAAAGTTTTGGTGAAATGTAGTTTTAGCATAACAGAATTAGACCATTCTCCTGTATGTTATAAAATCTTTTAAATGATCTCTCAGTTAAATAAACTGGTGATGTTTCTCCTTAAACATTGTAAAAACAAAATAAAACAAAACAAAACAATCCTGCCAAAATGGGTTGCATTTCTTTTCTACAGCAAAGAAAAAGTATTTCAGGTCCTGACTTGGTCCCATGCAGTGTCTTGAAATGAGAATTGTGAGATAACACATCAGTCAGTGCAACACGCACCAAACAGTCCCACATCTTGGTCATGAGAGCCCTTCTGGGCACGTGCAGAGGGAATATGAACCATCTACATCCATCTAAGGTATTCCCAAAATGAAGTACAACATTTCCTGCACTGAACCATTATCCAGCTGAAATATTTCCACCATCTAAAGCAGAGGACAGTGGCTACTCACCAATTGCTCTGTATCTTGCCTGGAATCCAAAGCCTGCAATATGGGAGTCACTGTAGAAGTTGAGCAGCATAGGTCCAAAGACACTGACTGGGGCAGGGAGCTCATTACCACAGAGCGTGATGAGCGGATGCGGCGTAACCCTGGTCCCACTGTAGATGCTTACTCCATCATAAAGACAAATTCTGCTCAAGAGTGCTGGAGCTGCATGGGCATATAATGCAGAAGTATTAGCAGGATATTCTCCATGTGATTTACTGAGCTGCAAGTATATAGACCTCACACAGGGTAAGAATTAAATTTTGTATTGCTTGGGATCTTGGGATCTCATTTGCTTGCTGAGGAAGCAAATGTCAATTTTTAACATGCAGAAAAACTGAGGCAGAAAAAGGCAAAGAGACCTTGTACATAAGACATCACACTGGTCTCATTCAGCACATCCTATCATCTGGAAAAGGCTCCAGGCCCCTTGAGTTCTTGGGAGTTCATAGTTGAGTGAACACCATCTATGAGGAGATGAGAGGACCTGACAAAAGCATGGGTCTCCTCTGCAGATCAAAGCAATGCACTTTCTGTTACAGGCAACCAACTGCCTGGTATTTCTTTCCCCTGATGTAAAAGTCAGAACTCAGTGCAGCTAATTTTAAATCATTAAGAGTAAGAATTTGGGAAAATGAAAAAATAGTCCATACACTAACTAACATATTTCAGAGCTGACTTCTTTCTCTCTGAATTCCCTCAAACTTTTCAGTACCAAAACCCAGATTCTTCAGATTGACTCAGGAGACAGAAAAATCTTGCAGTTTGCCAGTGAAATGCTGTAACTGTGGCAGTCAGTGGAGATTTGGAGGTGACTGAGCAATAGGAAAAGAAACAATGATTTTCAGGAGCAATCTTCTTTAGGGGGCAAATTGGTACAGATACTAGGGTGAGTGAAAAGCTGCCCATTCAGAAGCACTAAGAAACAGGGAAATGAGGAATGTAGCATTCTACATTTTTTCCCCATTGGTTTTTAGCTTCTCATTTGCAGTTAGTTTTCTGAAGGATCAAGCAATCCCCTCTGACTCCCTGCCCTACCTTCCTGACTTTCTAGCCACCTCACCATTTGCAACCAGATTGGACTGAGACGAAAGATCTCAAATTAATTAAGTTCATATAAGTTTCATGAAGGTCACTGGCTGAGTTAGAGTGCCAGAGGAATGTCCCCAAAGAAGGACAAGCTGTGCTTTCAGTGTAAGGGCTGTGAGTTTGAGCAGAGATCTGCTGAGCACCCTGGGAGCTCAGAGCCAGCTGGGAGCCATGGGCATGGGGAGAATTTAGTGGTACCCAGGGTGGTGCCACCAAGGGATGTATGCTGGGAGCTAGAGAGGTTGGGTATCGTGTGGGAGCAAGAAGGGAGCCACATGGGTTATGCAAGGAAGCTGGTTTAATGCTGTCAGTGAAAAACACAGTACACAACTACTGAAAACCAAGCTTTGATAGTTGTTAGGCTTATAGCACAACTTGGTGTTTTCTTTGTCTTTTTATTCATCATTTACAAGCACAATGGAAGCAGGGGTGCCGCATGTTTATTGAGGTTAAATTATCATGTTTAGCAATCCATTAGCAGCAATGGGGCTGTTACTTAAATTGCAAAAGATTAATCAGGAATTATCTAAATTTAACAGGAGAGACACTGAGTTTAGCATTGCAGAGGAGTGATTCCTGCAGATTGTCCAGTCAAAACAAGCTGCTTCCTAGTGTTGTAGGAAACACGATGACTCGTATTGAACAGGATGACAAACAGGAATGGAGTGATAATTCTGTTTCACAAGAACAACAGAGTCTTCCCAGCAGCCAGATATATTTTAGAATCTCTCTGGAGTTTTAATTTTAAAATTCTTTCTCTCTCAATGAAGACAATGTATTCTAACATGTTTTACAATTATGCCGATAGGGAAATATGGTACTAGTCTGACTCTAATAAGAGTAACTAAGCTGAAAACAACCAGCCATGTCAGGTAACTGATTACACTGTTAATTATAAAATAATTAATTAAAAATATTCTTCATGTCCTACTCTATTATGAGAATACTTGATAATGTGATACAATTAAAAAACATAATCAATTTTAAAATACAAAGAAATGAAAAAAAAGAAAGAGAGACAAGTGCAATTTCAGAATGGAAAAGATTTGAGAAAGCAACTCAGGTCCCTTTCTGGAAACACTTTGGAGAAAGGCATGAAGTGAAACAGATTTCTCAGCAAAGCAAAGGTCCACAATACCCGTCACAAGTTGTTTCGAACTGCTCCACTGGGAAGAATAAGATGGTTGATGTAGGATTGTGAGCAAAAGGCTTAATTTCCAGCTTTGAAACCTCATTGCTTGGGCCAATATCGTTTTTCACCCATGAATCCTGGCAGGACTGATGATTGTTTGATCTCTATCCTGTAACCCATCACATGTTTACACTTTTCCTTAATTTCTCACCATACTAAAATGCATTATTCTGTAAATAATCCCCAGCCTCAGATTCCTCTATCCTATCTCCTCATGTCATACTTCCAGCCTCTACACATACTCAGCACATCATCAGCAATTCTTCTCTGTGGTCTATTTCCTCTAATTCTATTATCTTTGATCTTTTCTGTCCCTTGCACTACAATGGAACAGCTTTCATGAGTCTCCAGAGATCTTTTCTTAGCCAGCTGTCAGACCCACATCCTCTTTGAGCTGACAGGCACTTTCCATATAGTTAGCACTGTTTTTCTTCATAAGACTTGTCTACTAAGAGCTTTTGCTCATCCTTCTGGTATTACTGTATTCTGCCTTCTGATTCATCCATGAGGATTCAATGAGACATCTCCTCTCCTGTCTTTCTCTCTTTATCTCCACATTAGCTCTGTGTAATCTCATTCGCAAGGACAGATGCAACTACTATCTCTGTGCTGACGACCCCATAAGTCTACTTCCCTCCTCCAGGTCTCTTTCTGTTCAGACTAAAATTTTATTTCTGTCTCTCAACAAAACCATTCAATAGGAGAGCCTTTTTCCCCCCTCAAGTCTTCCCATGCATGTTCTTTCTTTACAGCCTCATTATTTTGCTTGCTCTCTTTAGGTCCATGTCTATGATTGGGGTCTCTCTAGGTCTTCGCATCCAGGCTAGATGTAAATATTGTCAAGTGTTTCCAGTTATTGTCTTTAAGGTAAATTCATTTGTATCCTTCCACATACCTATGATTCTCACCCCCAAAATAGTTATTTTTCCAGCATGGATACTGTACCATTCGTTCCTCTAACCTTGACAATATTTCTTCCAAATGCTGCTAGAGACATCAATTATTTGGCCTGATGTTATGAACATATCCCTCTTTCTTTGAATTGCTGTGTGTATTTATTTGCTTTCAAGGCCTTTTGTTATCTATCTGCACTCTATTTATCATCTCTTGGTACTGCTCAGCATTGATACATTGACTCCTGCCTCCAAAGTTCACATGATAAGAGCTTCAGTTGTCCTTACATTACATTTTGAAATATGCCTTTGTGTTGTCTCCTTTCCATTTAGCAGAAATTTCTGTTCAGTCTCATTATTCTCCATAAAATCATTTATTCGATATGATGCCTGCACAAAAACCTTGACCGAATTTGGGCCCCTTACTATCTGATCACTAATAACAACATCCTCTTTCCATCTCTCTGTCTATAGCCATAGATTGTTTCATTTTGTATCGAGGCAGAACCTGTCTTTTTGTTTAAATTTTGTAAAACTGAAAATAGTGAGGGTTTGGTTCACAACTGTAGCTTCTCGTATAAATGGTAATACAATTAGTAATTACTAATGTAGGAAAAGTATTACGCAGATATATACTCCTGTGCAATATATTAACCAGCTCCATAGCACAAGATACTATTTTGAAAGCAAGGAATTACAAGTCTTTCATATATATATATCCTCTTTCAAAATAATCTGTTGCAAAAGTTGTCTATTTTCTGAATTGCCTAGTAACAACTGAGAAAGCAGATAGAGAAGACTCCAAAATGAAGCTGTAACCTTATCTCAGATTGCAAAATTACAGTTGCATGTTTAAAATAAAAGGAGAAATAAACAGGCTATTAAAACATTTTTCAGGTCAACATGGTATCAACACAATGCAGTTTTTTTGTATAGACAGAGTATAAATACTACAGAATTCTAAAAGCAGATATTGCAGGAGGCCTCCATCCATTTCCCCTAATTTTCCCTGATTTGGAATTCAGACTTTGTTGCATGTTATGCTCATACTTGAAGAGTATTACAGCCATTTAATACTACTACTACTAATAATACTATTCTAGCTGTCCTAGAGATGTATTTGTAGGGATGTTAATCTGAATAAAGCCTATGAACAAATGATGGATGTGATTAATTATTTCTTAGATAGCAAGTCTACTAAGATAGATAGATAAGGGTTTTTGACTAATTCTAATACGTTAGATTTGTGTAGACCTTTGATCCAAGAAGGGAGGACAGATGGAAGAGAACCTTTGTCACTGCCACAGAAGTGGGGCTGAAAAAACAAACTCACCCCCATTTGTTTGGTTCTTTATAAAATAACCAAACACAACAATGTAGGTGGTACTACAAGAAACAAACGGCAACCTAAGCAACATCATGAAACAGGCAAATCAAAACAGAAGTTCTGTAACCGTATTCAGTTTGGCACAGGAAGAGACATTCTTCGGGCCACAAGGAAATTACAGAGACTAAACCAAATTCAATTCATAGGGTTAATCTTGCCTATGTTTTCCTGCCTAAGTCTTAAGTATTTTGTGTAAGCTATTGTCTATGCTTCCTGTAATAGTCAATGGGTAGTAAGAGTGAGAGAGGCCTTCATTCCACATGTACAACACATTTGCTTTTTAGTTTAAAGCACTATCTTTTTCATTTCACTATAGGAGAGGATAAGTCTAGACGATAAATCTAAATTAGATATTTATTTTCATGGGCTCAAAGTCAGATAAAAACAATTTTTCTACCTACAAGGAAGCAGCCAATTTAGATTAAATTTTGATCACAAAATCAACAAATGCAGTTTCCTCCAGCTCTCTCTTGCTCTGTTACTTGCTATATTTAGTGCTTAATACATATTTAATATATAGTACATGCATGTCATGTTCATTTGGTTCCAGATACTGACATTGTATCACTACTGTGGGTTAACTGCCTCATTTGGAGTCATTCTTTATAATCAGAACGGGCATCTCATCATAATTGAAAACATAACTACTCTGCAGCAGAGATCTGTGACTAACCCATGAAGTCATTCAATTTTGTACCAATGTGTCACTGCACTATAACCAATTACCTTCTGCCTTCTAATTTTCCGGAAAAAATATCTCAACCAGTTAAAGTCAATGAGATATGTATGCCTTACAGGCATTATTTTAGATACTTCATTTCATTACTAAACAACCATGAAAAAAAAATGGATTTCTTTTGAAAGGTCAAATAGGTAGTAAATTATGTTAATTGGACATGCAGCTAAACTTTAAAAACCCAATCTAGAACATCTGTACTAGTATGGTTAAGATTTTAAATACCACACTCGGCAACAATCTAAGCAGGTGCAATGCTTCCTTGCATATGGAATAGCTGGAAATGTTTTTAACAGATGCTGCCAAACATTACTCTGCCTTTGCAAAAGAACTAAGGGAGTTCACGCTGGAAACCCATAGGCACATGTGCTAAACATATTCAGTGGGACAGCTGAATACGTTTTCACTTATGCATGATAGTTTGCAAGATGGTGGTTTCAATCTTATTTCCAATTCAAACCCAGGCAATTTCTCTTTGCTACAGGGTTATATTTTAAGATTTTGTGAAAAACATTAATAATCAACTACTGGAGAGTGTCATACTTCCTCTTTTATAACCAGATCTTCTTTTGCTCTTATCCAAAGTTCTTTTCTTTCATGTGACTAAGGACTTTTAGTTTGTATAGCCTAAGGAAGCCTATAACAATAAAGGAGCAAACTGCCCTGCAAGAAGTAGAATATTTTTAGTATTTATTTAGGTCTATGCTTATTATTATGTCAGTATCACTTAACTCATTGCTTTAACCTTCTTAATAACAAAAGCTTGAGTTAATTTATAGATTAACTGAATGCACAGACAGAATACAGATCAATAATGTACTTATAGAGATGTCAAAATTGGCATCATCTGATTCAGCCTAATGTTTAGTGTGTCTGCTGAATAATAATGTCTTCTACATGAAGAAATTATGTAATTTCTGTGGTTTACGTTTCATTTTTCTTAACATAGCAGTTTGTATTGGGAGATGAAAAAAATGTTTAAGATAAAATCATAGTTAAATCAAATCTTCGTCTCAGATCTAAATTAAGTTTGGACCAGAATATTTTTGAATTCAAAACAGTTTGCAAACTTAAAAAGAAACTAAAGGAAGCCTATTTTCTGACTTTATGAGTTGGTCTGAAGAAAAATTCAAATTATGCACCCCAAGTTAGTAAAAAATTACTCAAAAATCTCTTTGTCTAGGTGACTTCAAGGGAACCAAATTAAGATGGCCTCAAAATATGTGATGCCACCCAAGTAGTTTGGACATACTGATTCCTCATCATGACTTCTCTACCCATAAAAATTTGATCCTATCAAAGTTGGGAAAGTTTTACCATTCACAGGATATTATAACTGATATTTCTTGGCTAAATGCTGCCAAGTTTGAAAATCTCAGAAGTTACTTTTGTTGATGGGTATATACAGGGTAACAACTTTTATAGGTTTTCAGTTACTGTAGTCTTTCACCTAGTTTCACATTTATATGTTCATACATCCTTGTACAACACCTGAGTATATTTATATCCATTTTATCAGTTAGGGAAACAGAAGCACTGAAATGCAAAACAGCTGGCCTAAGATCAAAAAGATTATAAGACTCAATGGCAAAAAAAAGACAGGAACAAACACCCAAATTGGCCACAGTCACTCTTATACTCCAGCCGCTTGGGAAATTCCCAACTTCATTGCTGCAAGATATTCAACAAGTGAGATCTATCTTCACTCTTCTGGAAGCCGTCAGTGACGCAAAACTGAACCCTGGAAACTATCTCTGTAAATGTTTGTCTGTAAATGATTTTCAGAATGGGCCAGCAAATTAAACCATCAACCATTTTCTATGATAGAAGACTGGTATGTTTTTAAGTAAGAAGTTACACTTCATAGTACATACTGAAATTATGAAGAACCAGTTACCTTCCAAGTGGAAAGTCTCAAACTCTAGAATCACCAGTGACTGTGGTCCCTGATCTATGATATAACTGCAGTTCAAGTTGTTATCATACTGACTAGGGTAGTTAGGAGAGACGATACGACCTGCAGGGCTGGTGAAATTTGCTCCGCATCCTGCAAACATAAATAAATAAAACACAGTTATAATCCAGGTGATGATAACATCATTCTGGTTTTGCAGTGAGAAAACCTATAATGTACACAAGGACCTCATCTCTCCTTAAGAGGCTGGTCAAAAAACCAGGGAGAGTAGTATATATCATGATGGCAAAAGTAGGGCTTACACACACACAGAGCAGTGGTTTTGGGAAACATAGGGCCTTCCCGCCTACAGCCTCACACAGTATCTTTGCGTGTCTTGGGTAAGACCAGGCCATAACCCCTCAGCTCACTGACCAGAAGGACACAGCACTGCCATTCTTATGGGTTTGGAGCCTGCACATTTCAAAATCCCTTAGTACATACAAATGTAGCTGAACTGGATGGGGGGTTATTGGGGCATATCAGCAGTTTAGCCTCATTTGAAAATGCCCATATTAGTCCAAGTGGTACTATTTTTGCTTTATGCTTGACAGCCAGGAGGATGTCTGTTGTAGGGCCATCTCTGGGTTGCTTTGCTACACACAGAGGCAGGAGAAGTTTGCCACCCAGAACTTCTCAAGCACACAGAACTGTTCATTTTCACGGCACTCCTTCTGATCCTAGTGATTTGCATGGCCTCGGGGTTTCTCTTTATTTTAAGCTACAGGCTTAAAAGAGTGCAGTGCATAGTGAAATGCTGGTATAAGATTAGGAACAGCCATATGGAGCCTGTGATTGTCTCCACTAAGAGGTTGTTATTTGTTACTGACAACATTAGTGCAGACATTATAAAAACAAAAGCAGTTTCAGTTCAGAATTCTGTATACTTCAATAGTGTCTTCCTCTAAGCACTTCATTTCTCACTGTTTTAATCTGAATCCAGTGAAGGGAAAGTGGTTTCCTTTGGCAGCATCCTACAAAAAAACCAAACAACCAACAGCAATTGAGCACTACTTCCTACACTTCTGGTGGGTTTGACCGTCACAAAGCACATGCCATGGTGAAAGAAATGGAGAGCCCACCCAAGAAATGCCACTTGAGCTACATGAAATGCAAATACAACAAAACAAAAGCAAAGGCCAGAGCAGGTGGTGAGAATTCATTTTTTCTCCTGAGAGCAGTTTATGTGAAGGGCATGGGCTACACTATGCACAGGAGGAATTACCACAGCTTCAGCATGTGCCTTGAAAAGAACAGAGATAGAAATTCTAAAGGAGGAGCAGATCCTTTTTCCTTTTTAAGAAGATTATAGCTTTAACTTCCAAGCAGTTTAACTAAAGAGAAAGAAATTCTCAAAATTTAAAGCCTGTTCACTTCTTTTCGGCACACTGAAAAGGCAAAGGTGACTAAGAATAACTACGAAGTTATAGCTGCATGGAGTATCTTTGGCAAGTCCAACACTGGAGCACACAGTAGCTCCATTGTGTTCAGTAAGGAAACTCTTGGTTTCAAAAGCAGGGCAGAGGCTTCAATGCCTTGCTGAACTGAGGTCTGAATTGCTGATCAAACTAATCCAAAATGGACTAATAGAGCAGCCACCTGGCTTTGATGTTACTTACTGCTTACGAAAGATGCAGAGAAACCTGGCCCAGGAGCATCCTGAGACTGAAATACTGTAGTTATCACATTGTTTGGAGCAACAACAGGATCAGGAGCTGAACTTCCACATCCTGTGGTTAACAAAGCTGTTGCTTCTTCATCATTTCCTCTCCACACCTGACAAGTCCAGATTGAAAAATGTTTAGTGCTTTCAAAGCCCAGGAACTGCATATGCAATTGTTCTTTCCATAGACTTAGGGTAGGATTCATCTCACACTGAATCTTAGAGGTCTAAATTGGAGCTAATCACTCTCCATTCACTCTACAGTCAGTGGAGACAAAAAGACTTCTCCAAGGAGTGAATCATAGAATAACTTAGGTTGCCAGGGGCCTTTGAAGGGCATCTGGAGGTCATTTGCTCAAACCTCTACGGATAGCAGAACCAACATAGATCAGGTCCAGGGAACAAGAGAAAAATATTTTATGCACATCATTACCTACCTCCATTTTGTCTCTGCTAACTTATCTCCATACACCCTATGAATACGAATATCTGTGTATACAATGAATTATTAAATGCAATCCTTATATTATTCATAAGTCAATAAAAAACAAAGCTGTCATGCTAGGCTAATGTAGAGGCATCAAACTGGAAGATCTGGATCCTTAATATCTAGTCTTGCTAATCAAAAATTATTCCCATTTTTGTTATGTTGCATTCACTTGTTCAATGACAAATATCAAATCATGCAGAGAGTTAACAGAAGAATATAATTCACAAAAAATATAATAAAGAAAAATATACAATTTTTTAAAATATTACTTCAACTGTACCAATAGCCAATTTAAGTTCAATCAAACCATGCATTCAAGAAGCACATGCAGCTTTAGGTAGGTATTTAAGTGAAACCTTCTTCAGGTAATTACTTAAACATGTACTTGCGGCTCACAGTTTAAGCACTGAATTTCAACACACATATAAAATGAAACATAGGCATAAATGTTTGATGTTTCTGAGTGCTTAAATGATTTCCTGAACTGGGATGTTTATAGCCAAGGATTTTAAATGTCTTCTTAAGAAAAAAGAAAAAATCATTTATTCTAACAATAAATTTATTTTTCATCAATGTGTTTGAACAGTTTTTTTACTGGTACTTTATATCAAAAACATATTAAAAACAAATAATATTTGTTTTTTAAAATAATGTGTTTGAAATAAGTCTAGTGGAACTAGAACAACCACATGAAATTGTGCTTGCTCTAAGCAATCATCCTAGAAAGGGTTAGCCAAGGGTTAGTCTGGAAGTGTAGGCATATGAATAACCTCATTCATCTGGCCAGGTGTTTGAGGCAATGGATGCTCAAAGGATTAACATAAACAGTCCATGGCCTGGCCAAGATTTTGCACAGTCACTATTGATTTTGGATTCCTCTTCTTTGGCTGCTCAGCTTGGAATGAATGGAAGAAACTTAGACCTGTTCCACACTTTTTCATATCCAGACACTTTCATACATCTCAAATTGGACATTCAGAAATGGAGGTGGACATCACCAAAAATTTCAGATTTTTCTCTATGGAGAAAATCTCCAGTTGACATAGTTTTGACCATGTCATTCAGGACAGTTTAGAAATTTTAAATTAAAGCACCTTCACTGGGTGGCATTAAGACTTTCATATTAGTGAAATTTATTGTAACATATTACATCAATTAATCAGAGGAGCAGGCTATGAAAAGACAAATCTAATAGTATTTTTTTCCACAGCCTTAAGAAATGAGTGCAACTGTGGTTTGTAACTTAGTAGGTATAGATCAGATGTACAGCTGCTCAAGTCTTCCTACATGTTGTCAAATTATGTTTGCCCTTTATTTCAAGTGGGAGTTGTACTGCTGTGGAGAAAATGAGCACAAAACCACTGAACATATGCCAAATGCCTGAGAAGAAAATGACACTGAAAAATTCAAAGCATGTCCATTCCATTCTGTTGCTTTGAAAACAAGTGGCTCTTGACAACCTATGAAAGATAAGAACGCTATCTTTGTTTTTTGAGATAAAAAAAGAAGGATTAGTGCAACTTGGACAGTTCATACACTTATAAAGAAGTTTTGTAGAATTATAGTGTCACATTCCTGTTTTTTTACTCACTGGAGTAATTGAAAAGGTCTTTTCATTACCCTATATTTTCTCACTATTTCCTGGTTCTGAAGACATATGTACTTTTTTCATATTTTTCATTTTTGGGGCAGCATGTAGAGTGATGGGACCCTGCTGGAGGTGGAACCTCAAGAACTGATAAAAATTAAAAATAAATACAAGCCAGTTCTCAAGGCATACAGAAAATTGACTGTAAAGGTACAAGGACTTCAGTTTATATTTCCTGAATTTTATGCCTTGACAATTCCTAACCATGATATGATTGCAAAACAGGATTCTGGAATCATGACTTCTTAAAGCACTGCTCTGCTCATCTAATGCCAACAACTATTTTACCTTCACATAACTGCTCTGGCAACTTCCATTGCTATCTGGGATCTGGAAGTTACTGTGGAAGTTCATCTCCAAGTGTTTGCTTTCATGCGTAATGATGGTCCATGTGCATCTGGTGTTCACGGGAAAGTTTTGAGGCCAGTGAGGAGACTTGATCATACCATTATCTGAATGAATGATTCCACCACATCCTGGAAAAAATAGCAACAGGTGGGAGGAATGTTCAAATATTTCCTGTTGTGTAAGCTTTGAATGGCTGCTTGCAAGAGTGAGAGTGAAAAGCCCTGACACACATTCAAATTTCATTTACCCCTCTTTTGCTTTATTTTCCTTCTCTCACCCCTGTAGTAGTGAGGTAGCTACACTCTAGAGAAGATCTGTCTTCGTACTTCACTTTCTCTTCTTCACAAGCTCGTTCTCCTTGCCAGTTCATACCCTTTTGCTTTGGTCCATCTATACGCTGCTGACAATTAGGACTATTGCTCACATAGAGAGTAAGGGTCAGAAATATACATTAATGAGGAGCTTCTCCTGAGACTTCCCACACCCCACAGCATGCACATCATGACTGACAGTCATTCAGAGAAGTACCCTGGGGAAAAAAAAAAAATCAATCTATTGCTGAATCCTTGTTTTTCTCACTCTGCAACATGTTAATAATGCAGTTCCACACGTGAATCTACTCAAGCTACATCTGTTTACCCAGGGCAAGATGGTGACTTCTCCTCCAGCCCAGGCAGCCCTGTGGATCTCAGTGGGATTATGGAGAGGACTGAAAAACATGCCTTTAAAAATTGTTAACAGATTCATTTACAAGGGGGAATAGCTGGTCATGGCTCTGTGGCAGCTCATGTTCTTATACATAATAAGTTTAGTTAATTTGAAACATACTTGCAAATACCATGCCAAGAATTATTTACTAGGGCTATGCATACAGTACTAGCAACCCATAATTATTTCAGTGATGATGTAGTAAAAGGATGAATAAAGAGCAAAAAAAAGCTTTATAACATTCTACTTTTTTTCCTCTTAATTAAAAAATATATATTAGCTTTAAAAGGAAGGTTTTCTTTTTCATTTTTCTGTGTTAGATAATGGCAATTGAGTTTAGAAGGATATGAGGCCAAGTTTTGCTCACATATACAGAATGTAAACCCAGAGGTTCTCAGTGGACAAATGAGAAGAAAGCTTAGGAAAGGATACCAGGTATATAAAAAAAGAAATCTCCTTTCACAGAGAGAATACTGACTATGCACATTGCATGTGTATGCTAATGTCTACTACATCATTGAAGAGGGAATACTGCTAGATCATTAACTGATGGAAAGCTGCTCATCATCAGCCAGAAGGTTTGGAGCTCGAGGTGACACTAGGGAACACATTGCCGGCTCTGTACTGAGGTAGGAAGGCACAATGAATTCTGCACTGCCACCAGCCAGCATATCTACACTTGCCTTTAATCACCTCCTGAAAGACTGTGTGCAAATGGTGAGCTACCTTTTTTTTTTTTTTAATCCGGAGAGACAATAATTTCAACAGAGGCAAGGTAGCTTTTTAAAATATACCAATTCAATCCTGCACGTGTACCACCTTCAAAAGTGTACCAATATCTCCACTAAAGTGGAAAAGTTTTAGGCTGCTGTCACATGTACTCTTTGAGAAGTTCTGTCTGCCTCTCTGTTTTGAAACTGACCTCTTTCTAGTTTTAAGTGTTTAAAACAAATCAAACCGTGAAACAATTGTTATTCAAGAAATGAAATGTCTCATAGTCACTGACAATGTCTCATAGTCACTGCTGGGAGGATAATGGGCATGGTATCAATTTACAGACATCAAGAAACTACCAGTGGGAGGCCTAAAAAGTACAAAATCAGTCCAAATTTGATTTCATTGTGTGAGATCAGACAACTCTGGTTTAATACTTGACTTTTTTATTGCTGGCTTCTCTCAGAAATGCTGAAGATGTTGGCATGTATTTCTTTTGTTCTTTAATGCAAACCTTATTAAAGAGGAGGAATCCTATTTCATTTTGTGGCTGAAAAGTGCTATATAGGCATGATATATTGCTATGTTAGACCTGACGAAACCAGTATTTTTTCTCTTACCTAGAGATTCTGCTGTCCATGTTGCATAAAAACCACCTCCCTGAATTGAGTGATCAGAGTTAAAGATGACGACTAGCTTGCTGGAACCAGACTGAATAGTCCCAGGGGATGTGTTTCCACAATACTTTCCTATGACAGGAGACCCAGGAGAGCCGCCATTCAGGATAGTAACAGAGTCCCACTTACAAAGGGAGTGATTTTCAACATGGAAGGCTGTAAAAGTAAGCTGCAACACACAAAAGAGATATTCAGGAGCTAACACCAGCCACACCAGTGGAGGGGTTAGAGCAATTCCAGCCAAATCCCGTAGCCATCCCAGCACAATGATTTCTGGGTATGCTCAGAAATCCGACCCTCACTTCACCTTGATGCTTTCTGGCAAGTATTTCTTGGAGTCTTGCCACTCTAAGTAACAGTAGCTACTTAGCATGAAAAAAGAAATGGAAGAGGAACGCACAGGTTCGAGACTGGCATTATTGGGACTTAACCACATGTTTGAACCTAAGTATGTGCTTCAAAACGGTCTTGAATATGTGCAGGTGTTGAACCTGACCCTCACTTCACCTTGATGCCTTCTGGCAAGTATTTCTTGGAGTCTTGCCACTCTAAGTAACAGTAGCTACTTAGCATGAAAAAAGAAATGGAAGAGGAACGCACAGGTTCGAGACTGGCATTATTGGGACTTAACCACATGTTTGAACCTAAGTATGTGCTTCAAAACGGTCTTGAATATGTGCAGGTGTTGAACCACTTTCCTGCTCTCAAGGCTTCTGGTCATGAAATCTGAAGTTGCACATTCAAATATAAGTAGCTATGTAAGCAGAAAGCCTTGGATCTTTTTCTTCCTATTATTTTGAATCAGAATACTTAACAGTTGCTAAAAATAATGCTAGTTTCCATTAAATCTGAGAGAAGCAGTTGCATGGTTGGCTCCTGTGGGCCTGGATGCATCACTTAAATAGATTGGGTTGGCCAGGCAGCTTCTGACACTGTCTCCCTCCCACACTGATGCCATTTGCCCTTGGAGGGATACGCAAATGGGTGGGATTTCCAGTTCAAAAATTTAGACTGCTGATCCAGTAGCCTCTTGGATTTGTTGGTGTTGAAATACTGATGTACACTAATGACTGCCTTGCCCTCTTCCAATAAGTTTTTTTTGCCAGTTCCAGGATTGGGATCTTCGTAGAAAAGTTTAGCAAATACATAGTACTTCTTCCTGTAACTTTTGTGTATATTCATTTCCAAAAGAACTCTGCCTGAAGCAAAGACCAAATACAAATTTAGTTCAAATGGTTTAAGTTTGGAACTTTACCAGCAACTGAAACTGGCAGCTTTTACTGAAAAACGTTAGTCTGCCTTCACTGAGGGGGCTGCTACTCAGTCCTTTTAAAATAGAAATTTACTTCCATCTGATTAAGATTAGTTCTGCTTTAAACAAATTTGCGGGTTAAAGAGAAGTTTTGTGTTCTGCTAAAATAATCCTGTATTCCCTGAAGTAAGTATCTAGGCAGTGGTCAAGAATATCATGCAGCAGAATAATTAGGACTATGGGTTTGCATTCCTAAGAAATACCTTGGTAGTTCTAAATAAGGAAAACATGATAGGGAAATTAATGAAAGACATTGCATATGAAAATCTGCAATATGTTTTTACAAAATTGCTTTTCAGGTATTTTTCTGACCTGGACCTCAAATGTCATTGGTTGGACCTGTTCTCCAAAGGATCAGTCAAACAATTCAGTGAGTGAAATTTAGCACTCCTTCGTCATAAAGGTACTTAAATTGGTCTCTCAGCACTTTGGGTCAAGGAGGTAGCACCTCAGGCAGCCCGTTAATAAGTTATTGAGAAATAAGAGTAGGATCTCATTGATCCTACCAATTGTACCAATATTATCTTCCAGACTAACCAGAAAGTAAACACGAAAGTAACTTTCTAGTGGCTTGTAATTTTTCTGCAAAGAAAAAACTTCAGCCTCATGTTTATTCTCATGGTAATGAGAATATCCATGCACATCTAATAACATGAGTTATTTTAGTTTCCTAAACATAGAAAGTCATTGGTTAAAGGAGAAGTTGGTGCTATGTTTTGAGGTCAAGTTAGACTAGGATCCTTCTGCTTTTCAGAAAGCACAATCTAGTTTGGTTGTGTTATCTTTGTTTCCCCCTCTCCTTAGGTAAGGCAGATGGAGAGATATTTAATTCCTCCACATTTCTGATTTTCCAAATTGTCTCAAACCTGTTCCTCAAGATTCAGAGGGTGCTTCTCACACTGCCAGCTGAACACACAATCACAGCATTGTGTTACTCACAGTGATGGTTTCACCTTCAGGGGCTTCCAACAACCAGGAGCAGTGATTCAGGTTGCTGTAAGGCTCTGGGTAGTTAGGACTTGAGATAACTCCCCTTTCACCTGACTGTATACCACCACAGGCTGAAGAAAAAAAGTAACATTTCAATACATTTTAGAAACTGAACACTATAAGCAAATGACTGGAAAATTATTCAGCTTGTAATAGTACTAAAATATATTAAACATATTAAGGACTGATACAGGTAAGGATGAACAATTTATCTAGGAAAATCCAAGTTTTAAAATCTTTGTCATTGAATAGTAAGCGAACAGATGCAATGACCTTGAAACTTTGCATTTATTCTGATACTTAATATAGCTCTACAAAACCTTTCCCTGCTGACACTTACAGCTCTTCCACCTTATCTTCCATTTATTTATCTCAGACTCCTAAGCAAACTAGTGCCATTCTTGGACCAACACAATCAAGTCAAAAACTTGCTGATGTGTCTAGATAAGCACCAGGGCTAAATTCAGCTGTGACAGGAAGAATAGTTGTGTTGGCATGTAAATGGCAAAGTGGTGTAATTTGCACCGATATGGCTTTAAGTGGATTTCAAAATGAGTGCAAAGGTTCAAGCAGCAGAATGCATTTCAGCCATGCTAGCGCTCTGGAGGCCTATTTGAAGTAAGTCAAATTTGGCTGGTGTTACCTGTTACATCCCTATTCCCAAGAGCAACCAGCTGTTCTGAGTGTTGCACTGCATTGCAAAAACTGAAATGTGATTTGGGGAATGGGAACAGTGAGGCAGAAAATAAATCTAAAAGTTCTATTGCTAGCATATGTTTGCTTTAGATGGATATAAATAGTGGCAGGCACTGTGTAGCTTTTGAGGATCTCTTTGAGAGTTGAACCCATAGTGTGTATTCTCAGTATCACCAAATGAATGGCAACATTCCCCAGAAGTGCCTCAGTCAGCAAGGGCAACAGTCTATCAAGCCATGTACCTTCAAACGTGTAATAGGCCAAGAATCCTTTATCTTCTGTGTTTTCATCACTTACAAAGTGTACCCAGATCTGGGGGGCAGCTATGACTAGTGGCACAGATGGTGCTGCCTGACCACAAAGTCTGGCTATTAGCTCTCCGTCAGCATCCCCTGAATAAAGAAAGGAAAAAACCACACTTTTTGAATCCTAAAAGAGCTACAATATCATAAAGGAATACATAGGGCAAACATGCATTTCATTTTGTTTTGACTAGAAAACAGAGAAAAGTACATATCACAATAACCAATTATTCATTATGGGTATAGGTAGGGTGCTGCAGTTCATTGCTAGGATCTACATCCTGACAACGAGGAAGTTCTCTCCAAAGCTGTTTTAATGATCTTTTTAATATCTTGGGCTCCTTCTCTCCCCTCCCTGCCATCCTGTACACTTTCATTTTGCATGACCCATCAGACCCGAAAACACAGAAAGTGTCCCAAAACCGCAGACATTTGGGGCAGAACAGTGGAAGATATGGCCCAAGGACCTGATCTCATGGAAGCCTGTTGAGCCCATGTGTTTGTGACATCCTCATTAAAGTCAACAGGAATTTTGAGTTTTCTACCATATAGGGATGTGCTTCATCCATGAACAAGCTGTCACTGCTGTATTAATAATGGGCATCTCTTTCTTAGGGAACTCAACATACTGTTCTCTGTACAGCAAAAAAATGCCAACATTTGCTCAAATCATTGAAATCTAAAAGGAAAGCACAACACAGGTCATTGCACTTCTGTGACGCTGAATGTTTGCTCATCTTGGTGTAAGCTCTTATCCATCACATTGGTAAAAGTATCAGTTTCTGTTTATTACTGATATATTCTCAGGAGAAGGAAAATAAGTGTAATAGCATTCCTCACGACATCCAGGCAATGCCATTCCTAAGTTTGCTTCTCTAATAACAGCAGGCTGCTGGTCTTAAAAGTCTCCATTCAAAAGCAACTCCTAACTCCATAGAGTGGCAGGCTGTTCTTGTGAAGAAGGCAGTAGAGCAGGAGGGAGAAACTTTGGGCACTCTTCAAAGCCCTTTCACAGTTATTCCAAGTAACGTGGCTGAGTAACTTAATCTTTCTGTCATACATAGTGACACAACCACCATCTGAAATGCCTTGAGGCACAGGGATAAAAGGTGACATATAATAAAATTCTATTAATGTAAATTACACGGAGAAATGCTAAAACCTGTCTTGTTAACATGCACTAAAAATGATACTGAGCTGTACAAGCAGAAGACGTTCATGATAAATTACAGTTTGGGAAAAAATAGTAATAACTACTTTGAGCATTAAAATGTGAGGTGTACTTTTTCTTTTTTGCACTTCTTACAAGGTGATTGACTATGTGACAGATGTGACCCAGGTCACTCAGTCTCTACAGCGGGAAAAGTGACACCAATCACTGCTTTCATGAATGGCCAGCTGGCCAGAGATCTAGACTGTTGATAAACAGAAAATGTAAACAGAAAGATTGTGCTGTAAGATTTGGTTCAAACTGAAGGGAATGGTCTGAAAGACAAAACCAAGAGTCTTCCGCAAAAGCCAAAAGTTAGGACTATATTTCACTGTAGCAATATGCTCAGCTTTTTTACCGTGTACAGACTACATGCACGTGCCTGATAATTTAATAACTTAATATAAACCCTTACCCTAAGAAATTAGAAATATTTATTTAATCTATTTAGATTAAATATTTCTCAGTGAATACACAAAGTCAATTCTGCTTTTTTTTTTTTTCATTCAGTACCATTAGGTGTGTTGTATGGGTAACTCAAAAGAATTTTAAACATCTCAGCTTCATTTGGGGTCTCTCGGGTAACTTACTGTGAATTGGACCTTCCCCCAAATTCACATCTGCTCTGTTGAGAGTCTTAAATAGCACGTGCCTGAGTTTAATGATATTCTGCACTATTTACATCTCAGTGCTCGTTAAATGTTACTTGTCAGCATACACAGCTGAATTAGGGCATTCTGCCTTTGATATGAGAGTGGTTGTGAAACTGAAGATCCATTAGTATAGCCAAAATGAACATTACTATTTAGATGAAAAAACTGTGTAGAGCAAAATAAGACTAGATTTTTTCTCTTTCCTTTGATTGTATTGCCTGGAGGCCTGAGGTTCACAATGAAGTGAGAGTAGTGGGAACTGATGAGTAACAGACCAGATATATTTTATTATTTCTTTCTCTGAGTTTTCTTTCTATTATTTCACGGTTCCGATGCATACGTAGGAGGGAATTGTTAGGCTACGCAGCTATGCATGCTTTGGCTCTACGCAGGACAAATGGATGCTATACAACCAAGAGCTCTCTTTCAAATGAATGCAAATAAGGAGGTAACAGATTCCAGCTCTCAACCCCACCACATCTTTCAGAAACAATTTCCTGGTAAATTAGAACCTGCTCTCTCTGGGACTCACAGATATAGCCTCTCAGTGAAGAAGACAGCTGGAGCTTTCATACTACACTTGGCATTAGCTGAGCGACTTTCATATGACATTTCCAGTTGCTTGTTCTTACGGCTCACTAAAGTTCCTTAAATATGCAGAGATATTACTGGTGCATTAATCCTGTGATTTTTTTCGTTTTAAATGCTTCAGTCTGTATTTTGTGATGCAGTCTCACAGGAAATATGGATTTGTTTTTGGAGAATCATCTTATAGAGTACAAAAGCGGGGTTTGAAGTGGGTATGCAGCCCAGAGGCTATGAATAATTAATGCATTCTTCACTCCACTCCTGCTGTCCCTGAAGATATTTCAGGAGCAGGGAGAGAATGGGCTGTGGACCAAATAAATTGATGACTTCAACTTCTCCTGACTGCCATCTTTCAAGGGAGATGAAGTGAAATTTGTATTGTCCCTTGTAAAGAGAGAGTAAGGTGTGTGTTGCAGGCACCAGAACACTTTATACCCTCAAGATACGTATCCAGTTTTCCATTTTCTCCCCTGAAAGAAAGGGTGACTAAATCCATGCATCCATTGTTCTGGCAGTGAAATCCCACTCCTGGTCCAGGAGGCAACATGGAAGGCACGCATGTGAACACTCTCAAATGTGCAGATCCTACAACAATCACTCTCTCAAATATATATGAACAAGATTTGGCACAAACACTGTTGCACAACTGGAATCTTGACAGGCTTAATCCATTCTCCAACATACAAACCTATTTGTAACTCGAGGTAGTCATACTGGCAGTCCTGGTGATGTTCCAAGTGGAAATCCTCGAAAGAGATATATATGGATGAATTATAGTGGGAGGGGTTTTCAATGGTCCATTCACAGTTCAGGTTACTTGTGTAATTTTTGACACCATTATAACAAGGAGAAGAGAAATTCCCACCTGCATATCCCATCAGGGTTCCACCACAAACTGCAGAAACAAAATATAATTTATTTAAAAATAGTAATAATTCTTGTATGAAGAGAAATCTTGCCCCTGTTTATCCTGATATGTGCATGTCAGCAAGCCTATGTACTGATTAGATCAAAACTTTTTCCATCCTCTTCCTTTTTTATAATTTACTGCTGTGTACAAGAGAATTCTTGCCTAGTGTCCCAGAATCTATTGACAAGTCTTTAAAAACACATGTGTAAAGCAAAGAAACAACAGTTATTCATGGTATCAAATAAATATTTCAGCAGCACCATCAATACAATAAGCATTATTTAACATTTTGATAAAATCCTACTGTAGCTCCAGGTCAGTATTGCTCAGCCCTACCCATTACCTAATTCTAGACTCAAGAGAAGATTTTTCTGGAACATACCCTCAAGAGCACTACACTCATGCTAGTGCTAGCAGGAGGATGCTTGTGGGGGGAGTTGGAAAATCAAGTTCGAAAGACTCAGGGCTGTAGTAGTAAGGTTCTGCCAGCTACCTCCTCTCTGGAGGCTGAGCTTGCAAAAGTAGGTTAGCTGCACTCTTTCACAAGCTACAATAAATTATTACCCCCCTGAGTAATAAAGAAGCTCTTGAATAGAAGCTGTCTATGGCACTATGTTTTTTGGATCTTTTCATGGAATAAGGCCACTTCAGACCATCTCTTACTCAAGACTAAGTACAAAACCATAAATCAGTAGTGAGAATAAGGACTGTGATCCATAACAGAGGTTGTTCTTTCCATTTGAAGTTTGACATAACAGGCACATGAAGTCCATAACTCCCAGAGATTCCCCATTTTTTCAAGTCCTTTCAACTAATTACAGATATATATCTACTCCCATCCAGAGACGTAAGAGAGAAAAAAAGGTATCAGAGATTTGTTTTCTGTTTAGGTCATTTTTTTGACATGTGCCAGTACTTTAGCTATGAAATGACTCACCAAACATCAACCACTTAATTCAAAAACACACACTACCTGCATCTTCACTAGATGTGTATGAGACACTGAAACCTCTGGTTGCACGAGACATATCTGTCACCAAAATGACTTTCATTGTGTTTCCAGAGGATTTCACCTCAGTGCCTGGATTTACCTCACCACACAGCTTGGCCAGCTGGGGAGAGTTCTGTCTGAGGCCATTGTAAACCTGTTGGGTCAAAATAAATTCTTATGAGATCAAAATACAGTCTTAGGAGCATCTCCTGTATGATTTAACAATGCTTCACATCTTTAATACAAGGTTCATTGATGTCCCTTACAGCAGGTTAGTTCCCAAATCTACTCAAAACCTTGGAACAAACTTCCATTGCCTTGAGTGGGTGAGGCTCTGAAGTAAAATATAAAAAATACCTTATTTATTTTGGCAAAACATAAACATATTCCCCCTCTCTCTCTTTTTTTCTTAAAACAGAAATTGAAACAGTTTGGGAAAATACTGTATTTTAGCTCAATATTTATATCTTCAATCACTTAATAATACCAGCTCTTAATCATATTCATTCAATTTCAAATGATGGTCTTTGTATTCTTGTTAAAGCCAACATGAGTTTTATGAAAAATCCCTTCCAACATATTCAGTGCTGGTGGGCATTTTTTATTAATTCAAACATTTCACTTTTTGATGATCCAGATGTATTTTGCTCAGTTTCTTTCATACAGCCTTTAGCCTGGGAGTTAATTTCCTTCTTTCTACTACTATCTCAGCAGTGCAAGCGAGGAGGAAATGATGTTTCCCACTGAGATTTGGAACATGTTAGAGTGCTGAAGGCACAAAAGCTGGCAGGACAGATCTTCCTTTAAGAGATCATTACTTCATTAATCGATAAAAAGCCAGCTCCCCATCGTCTGTCTAAAGCATCTGTGAAGGAAAACAAGGAGAAGATCATCTAAAAATGACAAGGGAGAGCTACTTCACCCCTCACACTTGTGCATGGGCTAGCTTCTGATCATACTAAAGCTAATTCCTGTGTTTGCCCTGCTAATCTGAACAAATGTGAAACTAAACTAGATGTCCTATTCCTGCAACTTCATAGAGGAATTACATTTTTGAGGCATTTGTACATCTGACCAGGTCCCATTCTGTGCGCCAGGTTTGATTTTTTTTGCACTAAATAACCAAAAATCTAAAATAACCATGATAAAATAATAAAAATCTGGTTTTTTGGAGATGGAGGGTGATAAAGAGGTAGAATTTTCTGGGTTTTCCCTATCTTTCTTTCAGAATATGCAAGGTCCGACACAATAGTAGCCATCTGTTGCAATCTCTGGCTTTTTCTCTTTCTTTTTATTTTTTTTTTTAATTGACAACAATGAGTAACAACAGCAGTAACAACCCCCAAAGTCAAAAGAGACCTGGAACTGACTGATGGACTTTGTGTCCACAGAGAAGAGACAGTGAAAGCTTTCAAAAATCCCAGAGCTTTTTTCCATAATTGATAAAGAGCCAATTCCAATGATTTCTTCAAGTCCTCCCCTCTGCCCGGATCATAATTTCAAAATTTCTCTACTCTAAAACAAGCAGATGAGTTTAGACACCCTACAGAGCTAACTTTCTCTCATTTACCTGTTTTCCCTGGATTAAATTATTTGTCCTAAAACCAGATGTAGACCTATAAATGACATTTCACCTCTATTATGTCCATTAATGCTCCATAAAGGGATTAGGATTGGGTGTGCCTTCACGCCCAATACTCACAGCCACATAATCTGATGAGCACCTCCAGTGTTCTTCCGTTTTCATATCATTAAAGGTTAGAGTCACACGTCGGCCTTCTTCCACTGTGATCCTCCATTCACACACTCGATTATGTGGGTATAGGTTGGGATAGTTGGGCGAAGTAAATGTTCCGACAGGGGCAGAAAAATCCCCACCACATTCTGAAATACCCAAATATTTGAACACTTCTTAGAGTAAAGCATTGCTTACGGAGTTATAGCAAAAAAACCATTAATAATGCAAGAAAAAGAGATCCTGAGTGCTTGATTTGATATGCCTATCCTGTCCATATGTTTGTCTAAACAGCTAAGTTCCTGACAGTCTTTATCACTCAGCCATAAATGTAGTAGAACATTAATTGACCATAGCAGCTCCTTTTAGTCTAGTTATTAATATTCCCTTCTCTGAAGGGCTTATGCCAGGCTTCAGAAGCCTGAGTGAGCCACAGGCTTTGATGTCAAGTGATACAAGCCTTTCACTGCGGCAGGATTGAGACATTTCTGCCTTTCAGATGACTGTGCAGAGCTACACAGAACGAGCAGGGTCTTAGAGTGGGTGATGATGAAGGATGTGGTTTTCCTCTGCTGGTTAACAGAGGTAGAGAAAAAGCTTTCGGGGATTTTAAGCAACACTTTTTCAGTGCAGTTATTTTGTGTTTTTCCTATCTTTGTTATGAATATCAAATTGTGCTCTGAGGAAAGAACACTAAAGGTCTTGGGTATAGAGTGCATTTTTCTTCTGAGACTAATGGAATAAATTTACCAGCTTACACTTGGTTTCCTTTTAAAATACAGAGATATAGTTTAATGGAGTGCAGTGGGAGAGTTAGTCCCTTTCCTCACCCTCACAGGCTCCTGCAGAATAGTCTAATCTGTGTATCCACCTGCATTAAATTTTTGCTAATAGAGTTTCTCTTCTATGGTTGCATAACAGGGTCCTGGGAACGGAATAACATTCTTTTGGAGTTTGTTTCCCCCTCTGTTATTTTATTGCAGAAGCAAACACGACAAGTAAGGAAGCTTCCAGCTGAGCTTTTAAATGAGCTGGAAAGAGTTAAGAAGGGTTGGCAGGAGATTTTTCAAGATCACTACTGCAAAGAATTTCTTAAAAAGTAGCCATTTTTTGGCAGGTCAAGCATTGTATGGGCACTAAAGAATGTGAAGGAGAAGTGTAAAGCAGGAATAGGTCTATGTCCTTAGTCCTGATCAGAGCAGCTCTTTGAAGTCATTGTGCTCAGAACAAGAGACAATGGGCACAAATTGAAACACATGAAATTCCATCTGAACATATGAAAACTGTTCTATAAACACTTTTTACTGTGAGGGTTGTTGAACACTGGAATAGGTTGTCCAGAGAGGTTTTGGAGTCTGTCCCTGGAGACATTCAAAACCCCACTGGCCACAGTCCTGCGCAACTTCCTCTACTTGACCCTACTTGAGCAGGGGATGTGGACTAGCTCATCTCCAGAGGTCTCTTCTAACCTCAGTGGCTCTGCAGTTCTGTCGTTCTGCTTAAAACCTATTGGTCAAAACCTATTGGTTTTAGGGAGATTTAAGAATACCACTCACCTCAGAGGGACAGAATAACATACAGGAAAATCACAGCATTTCTTTACCTTCCTCCTCATCAAGAGGGACGTGGGGAGGGTATGTTAGGACATCCCTGGTCTGATTGCTGGAGAGAAAAGGTGTGGAAGAGTGTGCTTCATTGTGTGAGACCTATCACTGATGGCAACATCCATTATAGCAGGAGACTGCTTGCCCCTGAAAGTTTCAGCTTGGCTAAGTAGCGATCATAGACCTCTATTCATACTTACCCCAGAGTTTAAATTTAAGAGCAAATACACACCACTCCAAGAATAAGTGATCTACAATATATGCTGTACTAGTACAATTATGGTCTGTAGTATATGTTGCTTCCCTGAAAGTAACTTTCAACCTTAGAAATCCAACCTTCAGTGCTGGAATCAAAGCGCAGTCTGAATCCTCGGGCATTGACTGATCCATCAGTGACAAACTTGACATAAGCAAAACTGTCAGAGGTGTCCACAGCATCAGGGAGAGTATTACCACAGTACTTGCCCAACAAATTTCCTGCAAAAATCAAATACCGAAAGACAAATATATCAATGTATTATTTATATTTATATTGAAGGATCACTTTCCAATTTAACTGGACAGGCAGGAGTAAACTAGTAAAATCAAGTTATTGCTGGGAAATATAAGGGGTTTGTTTGCCTTACTCTGCTGCTGCAAGGCAGACAGAAGCAAATACTATACATTGAAAAGGCTCACTCTGTACCCAAAGGGAAATGCTTTCAGGAACCTCTGGTGAGGTTGCGTAGTAGTACTAGGGAAGGGAAGACAAACACTGAAATAATTCTCAGACCAGAAGTGTTGTATTCTCGGATCTCCACAAAGTCATTTGTGCACTCGGAGGAGTTTTGAATATCTAGTCCTTCTAGTCTGATGGTAAGATAGTGGCCCCTGGGACCCTGCAGGAACCATTCACACAGTAGGTTGTCTTGATAATGAAGCTCAGGATACCCCATGCTTTCAATGATGCCAGTTTGTCCTATCACTGTCCCGCCACAGGGAGCTGCAAAAGGAAGAACATTGCTTGGTTGACTGAAGGACCTCAGAGAGATGACCTTTCTCCTAAACAAGACTTAAAGCTAAGACCAACTGGCTTGTTCTCTAACTGTAGTTATAAAATAGGAATTGCCTTCCAGTTAAAAATCTTCCACATTCTCCTTCTAATTCAACCAGTCCTAGTTTGTTTTGGTTTTTTTTGCACACCTGCTTCCATTGCAAGCATCCATTCCTCCCTGTCATATCTCTTATTAATTTGAATAAACTCACAGATTTCAAGGTCTATATCTAATGTCTACCCATGTCCATATTTACCAGAAAATCTTGGAAAGCTGTATCAGATAATTATAAGGAAATTTAGTTTGCTAAATGTGGATCTAGATTTTTTATGACTGACAAAAATTGACTGCTGGTTTGGGCCTACAGCTATGGTTCAGACTCCTCTTCTCTTTCCTGCAGTCCCTTCCTGTTCACATTCCACTCCGTATGATGCCTTGGTAAGGAATCACTGCACAATTCGTGAAACAGCTATTTATTTTTAATTTTCTCTCTCTGAAAACTCATTTCTATGTGGTACCTGCAAACAGAAATTCATAATACTAAGGCTTACAGCAAATAATATTCCCAGGTGGAATTTATTGGATTTTACAGTATATTCTGTGTCTGCTAGTTACAATCTTTTTGTGGAAATAACAGTTCTGTTGATACTGTCTGCTCTTCAGAGTAATTAGTGCTTTGTTCCAGGATGACTGGCATACAGCTGAGATACTGTAAATCTGTTATGGATAAATATAAATTGTGGCTTCGCCTACTAAAAATATTTTCTTGCAAGTTGCTTCAGTTTTCACATTCAGAAATATAATAGTACACTGTATTGGATTAGGTGTTTGAAATCTAACACAATCAACAAAATTCTGTGTAAAGCAATATAGTCCACTACTTTGCCTTTGAGAAATTAACAGTCCTAGACTTTCCTGTATGAGTGACACTAACATAATAGCTGCTATTCTTTGAAGATTATTAACATTATCAAAACCAAAAAAGTAGCATGTTTCTGAATTTGATCAAAGACTATTTTTTATTTAATGTTAAAACTTTGCTACTGCTTTCTAATCTTGTTTTTGCAGCTTGAGGGCAAATAATTTTAAAGTATTTCATTTCCCAGCTGACAAATAATGGTTCTTACTGTTCGTTCCTTATTCAGTCCATTGTTGTGCTGCCCCTGTTTGTCTAGCAGCATTGTTATTATAGATTGATTTACATTTACATAGAGAAGCTCCTAATTTGTTCTTCTCCTGCCAACTCTCAGCTGGTCTTTGCATTCCCCTTCAGGATTCTGCTCATGAAAGTGACACTAATTTTGCATGCCGAAAATCAAATCATGTTACATGACTTTATCCACATCGACCTTTTTTTTCTACTGTCCATTTGATAATTGTCTTTGACAAGAGGTTATCCAGTCTTTGTTTCCACTGCTGCAGATCTATGAGCACTTTTCTATTCCTGTTTCCATAATTTTCACCTCTTGCTAGGTGCAGAACATGCTGATGTTAACCCACATGATGATTCTGATGCCTTAGCTCTAACATTAATTGAAAGAGACACATATCTGTCAGTGCACCTCATAGGCATGATTTAAGCTCTATTACAAAAGCCTGACACTTGAGACCAAAATATTCTCTAAAATCAGAGAAATTGATAAATGCAAGCATTACCAATGGAGTATTTAGCATTGAATCCCACATGCGTGGCACTGCTGTCAGACTTGAACTTCAGGTACATAACAGCTCCTGAGGATCTCTGCAAGCCTGGCATCGAACCTCCACACAGCTTGGCAATGATGGGGGCAGTGGAGTCGGCGCCGTTGCGTAGCTCCAGGTAACTGGAAGTGCAGCTAGAAAAGGAGAGAATTTTCTGTTCAATGTATAACAACAATGGTTTGAAATCATTTCAGTACGTGCACAAAGCCATGAAGCTGTAGTGAATTAGATCAATTTCCATGCACTATGACCAGGACAGAATCAACAAGTTAATATTCAATGATAATTATGTAATATTTGAATCAAAAGAAGTGCTAGAAATATTGAGAAATATTCATCCCAAGCCCAGCCTATGATCAGATCAGATCTGATAGACGCAAGTCCTAGGGAAGGATATGAACAGCACTGATAAAGCAGTTGTGACCATCTTTAATATGTATTTTTTGGCAGCATTCAGATTCAGCAGATATTCCCTATTAAGTCTCATTGATGACTGTTGAATTAAGGAACAGATACAAAACAGATGAAGGGAATAAAATTCAAACTGGGGGCTTACTTAGGTGGGCTTAGAAAGACCCAAAATATCTTAACTAACAGCTTTGCCTTCAGAATGGTGCAGCATCCTGGGAAGCCAGAGAGAAAGGACACCTTCGGGATTCTCCATCCTGCATTGTTTTTTCTGGACATGGTCTCACAGGCGTATAGTGGTCCAGCCCCAAATCAATGAAGTTACATCAGCTGGAAACTAGGCCTTGTTTTGTGCTTCAGGCAGGGGGTGCAAAACATGTAGACCCATTGCAAATCAGCAGACAGGCAATGGATGAAGAAGACAAATTGTTGTGGTGGTAATCCACTGGACTTACAACCACTTGAGAGTCACAATGACTGAAAATCTGAATATGAAAGCACTAGAGGGCATAGGTTTTACAGAAGGCACCTTTCTACCACAGATGCTTCCTCTCTGTCTGTTATATTCATCTCTATCATGCACTGCAAAGTCCTAGGAATGTATACCAGTGACTTGATAGCTTCAGTGATCTCTCGCAAAAATTTCCTAATCACGTTTGATTGTAAATCTGGAAGTGCACTCTGAAAGGAATTACAGAAAGTAACCGGGAAAGAAGAATCAGAATGGAGTCTCTGAAGAAACACAGACAAAATAATGTGGATGTATACTTTGGTGAAGGTTCAATGTAAAACTGATCTTCAAATTGCAGCTCTACTGCATGTCCGTTAGGAGCAGTTATGGTCCAGACACAGTCAGCATGCTGGGGATAATTGTTCGGATAGTTGGGGGAAGATGTATATCCACTGGGGTTGAAATCATTGATATAAATATTGCCTCCACAAGCTGGGAAAGAAAAGATCGCCAATAAAAAACAACAACACGTTAAGGAAATGGGTGAGGCATCAAAAATTTGAGTCATCACTATATTCCAACATAGTTTCCTTTCGGTGTCGTATAGTTACATCAAAACCAAATTCATTTTACTGCTTATTGTGGGACAACATTTTAATGCAGTAGAATCCTATGTTCCTGTGCTCCTGCTTACCTAGCCCTCCTCATTTCCAAATGTTCAGGGCCCTGAATAAAACTGCTATTAGTTCTTCCTTGGATTGCTTCTAAACTAAGCAGGAAACATCTCTCTTGCCTTGTTCCTATCCCAATTCGCAAGAGCTAGAAAGCCTACAAGTCAGACCCATCAATGCTTCTGTGAATTATTCCCTACTTCTGCTTCCCAAAAACTGAAATGTCTGTTTGAGATAATAATGAATATGTGTGAGGAATGCCTATCAGAGCAATCATAAGGATTTGTTCAGGTCCTTTTTCCTACAAAAATATCTTTATTTTGACCAGAATCTTTCTGTCAAAACCCCCCACTATGTTCTAGCAATACTGGTAAACACAGGGTTTTAGCCAAGTGTCCTAAATTGAAGTGGTAGAAATACTATTGTACAGCTTCACCCATTCCCTTCATGAATCCCCTATGGTAATGCTAAGAATGATTCTTTGCGGCAGCAGGGGAAAATAGGCAGAAAACAAGCACTTACAAATTTGAGTAGATTGAGAGTTGTGTTTAGTTACATTTTAATAGGAGGTCTCCTGGTGTCCCAAGTGGCATTTGTCATGAATACCGTGGAATAACTGCAAATGCCAAGTCCCTGATTTACCCCTGGGACCTGAGTCTCCATTTTCTTCATTCTTTCAAAAAATGTTAGCTCTGGCAGGGAATGTTATTTTCTCAGCTGAGGGAAAAACTTGTGAGAAATGTTATCACCTTTCTCAACACACGAGCCTAAATCATTCCTGACATAATTTATCACTTGCACTGGGTACTATATGTTCAAAATAATATTCTTGTTTCCAGGGGTTTTTTTCCTTTTCTGTATGAATTATGAACATCTCTTCCTAACTATAGATGCTACTTCCCTGCCAAAGGGTCCACCATAAGTTTGGGGTTTTTTTGCTTTGCTTTGTTTTGGGGCTTTTTTCCATGACCTGGAGCTGGCTCTCTTTAAAAAGGAGAAATTTGCAAGTAGGATCAGAAGTCAGGCACTAAAGAAGGAAACAGGACATTTCTGCAGACATCTGATTTCACCAGGGTTGGGACTTATAACAACAACCTCCTTTAACAGGACAAACTCCAAGTTATATCTATTGAGTTGCAGAACTTACTTACATTTATTTCCTAGACTTACCTAGACTCTTAGCCTCGTATTTCAGTTTGAATCCTTGACCCTCATTCCTGTTGTCAGAAATGAAGTGGACAAACAGCTGATTGTCTGTGGTGTACATGGTAGAGATGGAGCTGCTTCCACAAAACCGTCCATTCCCTCTTCCAGACACCAAAGGTGGGGCAGCATTATCTAACCCATTCTTCAGCTAGAAGAGAAATCGCTAACGTCACTCAAGCAAACAGCCCAGGAATGTAAACTTCGAGCACCATCTCAAGGCTTCCAGCCGTGTGGGAAAACAATAACCTAGTGATTAATTAATGCACAGCAATAAATAAGAGAGAGAGAGAGAGAGAGAGAAATAATCTCTGTGGTATTTCTCTTTGGTATTTCCACCCCCTGACAACCTGGGCTGCCTTACTGACACTGAAATCTACAAGATTCAGTAGCTTTAATAGCTCTGTGGATTTGGTGACCTAGCCAATAACCTCACCTCTACATAATCTCCAAGGCTGCAGGAAGTATCCTCACTCTTAACCTGGAAAGGCTGTTCAAAATGGACAGCAATGATAAATCCAGAGGTTACCACTACATGCCAGGAACAATTCAGATTAGGAGCATAGTCTTGAGGATAGTTGGGGGATGTTATCACACCCCTGCCTGTGTGCAAATAGCCTCCGCAACCTGAGAAAAAGGAGTTGAAGCAAAGAAGAAAACATTACTGTCAACTATTCACATATTCATTTAGAAAAAAATCCAGTCTCCTAAAAGGAAGATGTGACAGGTAAAAGCAAATGTTGAAGCAAGTGTATGAAGAGTTGAGGGGCATAGAGCAATGCACACAATGAATGATCTCCCAAATACAAGCTAGTAGACTGTAAGATGACACACACCAAACATCTTTACAGTAAGACTCAATTCCCAGACTTAACAGATGAGTAAGCAGGCAGCTATGCCAAGGACCTCCCATGGCATGAGCATACTGTTACACTATCTGAGCACATCGCCTCTAGCCATGGACCAAACCACTGTCACCTACTCAAGCTGCCAGTCAGAAAAACTTCCCCTGGCTGCACATTGTTGTCCTAACACCTTCCTTGGTGCTTCAGCCCATTCAGGAATCTGTTATCATCCCTGGGTGCATGTGGGAGGAGTGCCACTGGAAATCGCTGAAGCTTTCTGCATCTGTCTCTCTCTGTTTTGTGTCTATGCTTTGAGTCATTTATTTCCCTCTCTCAGTTGGGCATTCTTTCACCCTTCAGCTAAGCTGTAACAGACTTAGGCATGCACTTTTCTTACTTCTGACTGGTCTGGTTGAATCATGCTTTGTTTTATTATATCGCTGGGAAAAAAGCAAATTTTACCTTTGCAGATTCAGACATTTATTAATGCATATTCATGAGATATGAATAACTGGCCTGTGTGGTTAATTAGATTGACTGTAGACAGCTGTTAAAAATGTCAGACGCTTTTCTTTCCTTACCCCATTGTTAGCAGCAAGGCAGACGTTTATCTGGGGGAGAAGAGAAACAAATCTTACTTTTGTGATAAGAGGCATTAAACCCAGCTCCAGTGACACTTGCATCTGATATGAAGTGGATGAACATCGCCTCTCCGGTTGATCTTATTGGGCCAGGAGGTTCTCGTCCACACAGAGTAGCCAGCACTGGAGAAAGACTAGTGTCTCCTGAGACCAAAAGAAGAAACATTAGTGTTAAAACCAAATCAGTTCATATCTGCCTGTTGGTGGCTTCCAGGCAGGTGCTTTTCAAGATCTTTTACCCCTTACAGAATGAGAAATATTTGTATAGACTGCCAAATATTTTACTAGATTTTGCTAGTTTTATTTTAACTAGCAGAATGTCTCAGCATAGAGGAAGAATACTGATTTAGAGTGTGTTCCCACTGCTATCTAGATTGCTTAAGCTCAATGGACACGAGAATTCCAGGTGCTAGGACCTTGAGTATTTATTGCATGCTGTCAGGGTAGTGCAAGAATGACTTCTTACCGTCTTGGATAATAAGTTTGTCATAGTTGCATGAGCTGTGAGATTCTATGTCTAGGGTTAGGATATTGAACTCCACAGTGGATCCAGGAGCTCTGATAAGCCACACACAGTCAGCAAAATTTCTGTAATTCATGGGCCAGCCCGGTGAGAAGAGAAAAGAAGGTGTTTCTTCAGTTGTTGCAGTCCCTCCACATGCACCTGTCACGTACAAGAAGACAAAAATGAAAGCATCCTCTTTTTAAACTGAACACTCCCCTCGTGTAATTTAAAATGACAGTCCTACCATTAAGCACAATGGGGGCACAGTGATGATGTGTGTAGTCACAGGAATGCATTTCTTCAAGCATTGCTTCAGTTTGGACTGGGAATACAAAACCTGAAAATCCTGACCTGTAAGGATGTTCCTGTGCTACCTGGTACAGCAATGATGTGACCTATTTTACCATGAGGAGTATCTAGCAAAAGACCTAAGAGCATCTACCACAGTTTAACACAGGTTGCACATCAGAAAGGAATGGTGCATGCATAACCAAGAATACATAAACAATTTAGACCCTCTTGAAATTGAAGTACTTTTCTTTCTTCACTGCTAATGTCTCTGCTATAAGTTTAGATCAAGATGGAGTTCTTGCTGGGATATCTAGTGGTTCAGTGCTCCCCCAGCACATAAACCCATTACGTACTGCTACTATCCTGCCAGAGCCCCAGGGATCCTTAGTCCCTCTGTCCCCAGAAATCTGCCTTCAGATTTAGAAAGAAGACATTGCACTATGTCCTAGTTAGTCTTAACTTTCTCTTATTGAACTTGCTCAGAGAAAATAAATGGTACAAGAAGCATATTCCCTCTCCTTCCAGGACCTATTTGTCAGAGGTACATGATCATACTGAGCATATTCTCTTTATTTATGGATATGAGATGCATTATAGCGAAAGGTTTCGTATCACATTGGCCAATGATTTAAGAATGGTATTTCAAGACAGATACTTTTTCATGAAAGCATATAAAATGTTTAGCTTTCATGAAATACCTCTGTAAAGAAAAATGACCCTCTATCAACATGTTTATTTTTAAAACACTGTAAAACAGTATATCTGAGAGTCTCTAGAAATAATTTTTAAAAGCTATTAAAATGCTTAATTAAAATGTCAAGGAAAGCTTTCCCTCCGTTAACAGACAGGGCTTTCTCTTGTGGTGAAGTTGGAGTTTTTTAACTAAAGTTCAGTATATCACTGGCTATATCACTTTTAACCATGCAACCCACTGAAAACCCACCTCTAGTAATGGTGCGTGTAACAGCAGAAGCATCCACTGCATACCACTCCAAAAGAAAGCCTTTTCCGGTCACAGATGAATCTGACTGAAACTGAATTGTCATTGAACTGCCAGAAGATGCAAAAGAAACAGGGTCTGCACCACAGTATGTTGCAATAGGACGAGAATGAATGGTGGGCCCATCATAAACCTGCAGAGAGAAGAAAACGGTGCCGTTCTCACACCGGCAGATTTTCATCTGCCCCATACTCAGCAAGTTTCCAAGGAGAAAATTAGCCTCTTTAAATGAGCGAGGGATCTTTCAGCAATTCCCAGTTAGAGAGAAACCTCTCTTACAAAAAATGGAACAAAATCTCCCTTTCTATTATATACTGTTAATTGTGAAGCTTTCACAGAAGAAGGATCTGAATGGAAGCCATCAAATTCAGCTCATTCCCCATCACAGGGCTGCTCTTTGGGGACATGGACTGGCCTTCCACATTAAAAAAGTCCACTGGTACAATCTTGTTCCTTGCTGAGGAAAAAACCAACATGATCTAAAGGAAAAAAAAGGCACTGTTTCTTCTTTTTTTTCCCCCTTTTTCCCTCTGAGGAACACACATATTTTAAATTCTATCAAATAAATATGCAATAATATTTTTTTAATTTTATATATTTATAAGCCAAAATCTTGGCTGGTTAAAAGATGCTTCTCTTTCGCCACCTTTCAAACCTATTTGTATTCTTGTCCTCTTCCCCACAGTAAAAAATGTCCAGTAGAGAAAGCTAGGAAATATTAGATAAACATTAACATTACATTGAAGATCTGATCCTTGAGTCAAGTTAAAGGTCAGGCTGATTCACACCCACTGAATGTCTAGCTGATTTAAGAGACTCATTTTGGTTTCAGATGGACAGGCAAAGAAAGGCAGGCTGAGTTAGAAGAAAGAAGATACCATTAAAATCTGACATGAGATAAAGGAAAAAGTTATATTTCCTTTTTGAACTAATATTAAATTTGGATATCAGTGAATTAATAATGAATTGAATATACTGAATATACTGAACTAGTATTAATTTTTATTTTCCCAAACATGAAAGAAAAGGATAATTATTAAATCAGCTGGGTAAAAAAACCCCAACAACCAAACAAAAAAAAACAGACAAGAGATTTACCTTATTTAACTAAGTAGTTATGTTTATCTAAGTTCAGAAAGAAGTGTTGCCTCTATTGCTCCATTTTGCTTAGCACCATGCGTGCTGTATTTTTTAGCCTGGTAAAAAGGCTAGACTGTATTACAGGAGAGTACGGAAAACAATCCAACAGGAAGAAAGAGGTACCTTCCTACTGCCAACAGCAAATTATTGATCCAGAGAGCAAAGAAGGTGCAAGTAAAGGATTATTCCTGTAGGATTTTAAAATAACCTTATTTTTAGAGGCACTGAGATGTTACTGTCACTGTTGTCCTCAACTGAACCAGCACAGAGCAAAGCTCGATCTGGTATCTGACCTGAAATTCTTGGATTTGAAAATTCAGGATTGTACCATTGTGGACTTATTTTTAATAAGTTTCAGACTTACAGCTTGGAAATACCTGTTAGGGAGCCAAAGAGTATGTAACCCTTCCTATAGCTAATAATTATTGAAAAGACGACATAGCAAAAAAATAAGCCACATCCTCGGAAATTCTTCCCATTCCTCTTGTAGGTTTCTCTATTCAAAATTTTTATCAAAGTTAATTGAAATAAAATAACTTCTCACAATGAAATCACCTTTAGCTTGTCATAACGGCATCTGTGATGATTTTCAATATCCATCTGCAGGATATGGCCATGGATGACTTGTGAAGCATTAACACTTATCCGCCACTGGTAATTGGAATTGTGAGGGTAACTTCTGGGCCACTGTGGTGAAGCTATTTGTCCTCTGTTTCCCACAATGTCATTTCCATACACTGAAAAACAAGAAAGAGACAACTAATGCCTCTAATTCACATAGATTAAAAGAAGCATTGGGGACCAGCCTGGAATATAGCTTTCATTTCAGCCCATCTGCCTTAATTTACTTAGGACTAGACAGCGCTGTGAGGCATAGACTTGTGTTTCAGACAGTCCTAGGATGCACATCTAATTACTTTCTTTTTGTGAGGGATGCAGTGTGCCCTTATCTGAAGGAAATTACCCATTTGAGTTGTGTGGCCCTACATGTAGAAGAGGTAGGAAGATGGCACATCTAAATTCTCCCCTGACTCTCCCTACTTCATGCTCATTTCTTCCCAAGAAACATTAAATAATAAAATGATTTTTTTAAAAATGCCTTTGGGTGTTCTGGTGAAAAACGGTTCTGATTGGATTGAGCTCTGACCTATTGATAATGACTTTTGAAAATGAGTAGTAGAAGTCTGAAAGTAAGGAAAAATATTAGAAGTTTAGCTTGCATAATCAGAATGGCGGTGGGTCTTTAGCTTCAGCAGTCTGTTCATGCAGCAAGTCAGAGATTGATGTTTGCAATGGTCCCTTGCAATTTTGGATCTATAAACTGGCATAATTTCCCTTTCTTCTAATTCTGCTCCCTGGTTGATGGCATTTAGATCCAAACCGGAAGATGGACACTGTTGTACTCAAAAAGCAAAATGGAAAGCTGGGAAAGAAACACTTTTTTCTTAATTTGTCAATTGCCTAATAAATGGCAACATAAACATTAAATACCATTGCTCACTCTCAGATAGCAAAGATATATGGTCAGATATTTTTAACTCTAACAGGCTACTGGTAAACTTGGGTTGCCATAAAATTTTTTATTATATAGCTCTTTTTTGTATCTTTACATCCCAATACTGCTGAAGGAAGAATCTGAAAACCAGGTGATAAACCATTAGAAAACAGGCAATGAAATAGAGAACATTTTATTTTCCGTAATCCATGAAGTTTTTTGCTTTTGGAAGGATGATATGATCAATTTGAAAAAAGTATATAAATGATAATTTTAGAAGATAGAATTTAATGTCTAATTCTTCTGATTATGTTACATACACACAAGTTCTGTTCTCGCATGTTTTAGAACATCCCTTTATATTCAGCAGATATTTTACAAAATATTTTTTAAGTGAATTCAGAGCTTTGCTGTCAATTAACAGGCATTTTCTAATAGGCTTTACAGGACCAAATGTTCACTTCTCTGAATCATTTTGGAAGTGTTATGAAAGAACAACAATTTTCAATCAAATATAATTTACTTACAGTGAGAGAATGTGGCCCTGAAGCCAACATCAGGGCCTGAGTTGTCTGAGACAAATTTGACCCACAGGACATGTCCAACAGTAGATATATAATTTGAAGGCAAAGAGCTCCCACAGAATCGTCCTGCCAGAGTGCCTGTATCGTTCCCTTCACGAATCTCCAGGTAATCTTTGGTGCAGCTGCTACTGTCTTCCACCTGAAATGCTCTGTTTCAATAGCAGTAGAAGAGCATTAGGAGGCATATGACTGACACATACTTCAGAGTTTGCCCTGCCAGGCCACAAATCCCGCTGTAGCTCGTATCCTACTGTAACAGTTAAGAAGAGGGCAGCAACAAAACCCTCCAGAATCCACAAGTCATTGCTCATTACCTGGCAGTGCTACTGATACAGGGCACTCTCCTTTCTGGCCCCTTATTTTACAACAGAGCTTCAGCTTTAAAGTTATAATTTTTCAAGAGTCCTCAAACCCTTGTAATATTTGTTGGTTCTCCAACAACAACAACAACAACCAACAACGGAAAGCTCCTGATATTTAAACCAGATTTTTTATATAAGCCCAGGTCAGACTATTTACTGGGTGCACATCTATTGGGTGCAGAGAATACTTTTAGCTTTACAAATCAGTTTGCAGCCCCTTCATATGTGTATTATTTCAGTACACTCTCTGGTGAGATAACAATTTCCAGAGGCCTAGATTCATTTGTAGTTAACACCTCAGAGCTCAGAAATCCCTTAGCAGTTTCTCCAGAATTATAAAATATTACTGCTTCTCTGGCCTCTCTGAGTTTCACATAGCTGGGTGTGCAAAATAATAATAAGGATTGCTATGAACTCTCCTAAACCAATTTTTACCTTAGAAAAGGAATGGGTAGTAATCAAATTATAAATTCTAAACTATTGCACCAAGCTGAACTCTACATATATTCTAAAAATCGTTATGTTATTCCAAGTGAAGTGCTTTGATTCAATCCAATATACTTTCCAGAAGCAGGCTATGAATACGTAGTGAAGATTCCAGAGAGTGCCTCTTATAGCCAATGCCCCAAATATTTATGCTTTCTGATTTTCTGGTAACAGCTCCTCCCTTCAGTCCTGAATATAGCCATATGTGTTCAGTGTACACATGCTGTGAAATGGTTCCAAACACTCATCTGGATATACTTCAGACTAATTTAAAGCTAATGCTCAAATTGCAAGACAGGCATTTCTGTTCAGACTGAGCTGAAGAAAATTAATGCCTCATGCCAACAAAACTTTATAAACCCCTAATATTAAATTAAATAAAATAAATACTGCTTTCTAACCCAATTACTCTATGCTTTCCAGTATTTTCAGCTTGCCTTTCAGCTATGTGTAACTGAAGAAAAAGAGTTTACATCTACTCAGTGTCACTTTATATAACTGAATGTATGTTCCACTGATAGTTTCTGCTTCACACTAGATTTCTGTTTTGGTTCTGAAAAGTTGTTATTCATTATTTTGTAGCAAATATTTTGGAAAATGTTTTCAGGCTGTAGTACTTTTTCTCTGCTTCAGTGAGTAAAGGAGGAATAGAATGTCCTTTTTATTGAATCAGTACGTGCCTAACAAATTGCACCTTATGCAGTCAGTATGTTACTGGGCAAATTTTCCTTTTGTCCTGATTAACTGTAAATGCAGGTTTCAGAATTACTTTTCTTTTCCTGCTGATTCTTGATAAGCTTTGCAAAGGGTCAGTGCTTTCTTTCTTGGCAGCAGCCACTGTTTGATGCCAGGAAATGGAGAGGCTTAGAAATCCACGTCAGGGTAAAGAACAACCTAACGACCATAGTAAAGAACTCCACATTGTTCTATGGATCACACATGACTTTCCTGTCAGAAGTTTTCAAAGGAAACTTATTTTGCTGAAGGGAAAACAAAATTCCTTCAGATAATCTCCTGGCCCCTGTTGTACCTCCACTGTTATAACTGTTGGAGAAATTTTGAAGAGTTTAATATAAATTTTAACCCTACAATCTGTGGAGTATCTGGGCCCTTTATATTACTCAGCTATATAATAAATACTACAATGAATCTGGTAGTAAGGAAATAGTAGGAATTTCCTTTGTAAAGAAAAGGCAGAGCAATGCTAAATTTCCTCTTCTTGTTTATAAGCGAGTGAGAACTGGCTTCTTCAGCATCCCATGTTGCTCAAACAATAAATCACCTATTTATATAATCCTGTATATGCCTTAATATAAGCAATGACTAAGACAGGAGGACACTGATTGCAAGCTGCCACTAACCACTGCTGTGTTCTCTTTCCACGTTACTCTAAAAATATGTTTCAGCTTTATCAACTGGTAATTACATTTCCTAATAAACACAGAGCATCCTCCTTCAGGTCTGTTAAAGGGCTGAATAATAACCCCTGGCAATGCATTTACATGAAGGACAGCTGGAGCCGGTTGCCAGGGGAGCTGAGAATTGTCCAGACACACTCGGTGTTGAGCGGATATGGCTCGGGATAGCCAGGGCTGTTGAAAGCTCCTCTGTCCATGTGGAAAGTACCCCCGCAGGCTGCAACAAGAAGGAGACAGCAGAGGCTTGAGAAAGATGACCAAAAAAAATACCTTGACAGAGCCAGAGCATTTGCTAATCAAGAAAGCATTTCTCCTTGTCTCCTTATTCTTTAGCTTGTTGATATACTTGCTGAGACCTTGGCCAAAAAGAGGGAGGGCAATAGGGGATTTTAAAAGAGGAATGTCAGAGAGACAAAGAGATACAGGATCTGTTCTTTTTCTTAAAAGTCAAAGGCATAAGGTAGCAACACCTGTCATATGGACTTACATGATGACGATGCAGCATAGGTGGCACGGAAGCCCCTGGCAGTAATGTTGTTGTTGGAGATAAAATTCACCACCAAAGCATTACCAAAAGAAGTGATAGGATGTGGTATAGTAGTGCCACAGTAACGACCTGAAAGAGAACAAGCCAGAGAGAAAAGAAAGGAGTGTTCACCATGTAATTACTATTGCTAATTTAACATTTGGGGTTAATGCCTGACAGCAACCAGGAGTAACATTTGTTGCTTACAATTGCAGTTGTCAATTCAATCTACATAAAAATGAAATACTCCATTTCATTAGCACAGAACTCAACTCTGGTGGCAATTTTTTTAAACAGAGGAATGACCTCCTGCACTCCAGACACCCAGTCATTGGCTATTCTGTCATGGAGCTCCTTTCTGTTCACTCTATCGAGAAATTACAGCCTAATTGAAAAAAAAAATCCCATCAAATATATCTGACAGTAGTTTCCATTTCACTCAATTGGTTTTTGATGAAAAAAACAAGAGACAAATAACAGACCAGTTCTTCTGTAATGGATTGTAACATGCGGATTAGGAATATGAATCATGATCTATCAGAAAGGCATCTGACAGCAAAAAGAAAGACAGCAGCTAGTATCCTGGTATTTTTGCCAAGTGAAAGCCAAGGGCAGGAGACCAAAAAATGAATTCTGCTCTTAGTTACAAACCATTTAAATTGAATGCAGCCCCACTCCTGACAAAGAAGCATATACAAAAGTAGAGTGAGGGAGAGCATAATCAGGCACAGATATTCCAAATTTCCCAGAAAGGAATTTGAGGCAACCCTTGAGGATGTGAGGGGAGTCAGGACCACCCTGTGGCCAGGGCTCTCTTATGGCCTCCTGGCAGTATAAGCACTGAATTTTGCTGCTCCAGGCTGCTCCTGCCACTTCAAAGAGATGTTGGGAGAAAGCTGTAGAAAATTCAGGAACAAGCAGAAAATCAGGCTTTCTAGGGCTTGAGGAAAATTCATCTTCTGCTCTCAGAAATCTGCATCTTTCTTCACCTATGTTTGGTGTCGACTGTGCTTATGAGTGTGGGCTACATTATGTTTTTGTACAGTTAACTGGGAATTCAGTTTAAACTGAATTGCTTGGTTCCCAATATTGTCCAGCTGAGGAGGAAGGAAAAGGCAGCTGGAGTCAACTCCAAACTGCAGGTTAGTAGGAATACAGTCAGAGCCTGGGAGGACTGTGCCATTCACACTGAAGACTTATCCTCCATTCCCGGTCTCCTCTGGCCAAAGTGGCCAAGGAACTTTATCAGAGAAAATCCATGAAGCAGGAGGACTCTCACAAAAAACCTTCTGCTTACCTTGGGTATAGTTCTATATATGAAATAAACAAGGGAAAGGTACAATACCTTGAAGAGGAGCCTCATAGTTATTCCCGTCCAAAATCTCCAGAAAATCCGTTGTACAGTTTTGTCTATTATTTTCAATTTCAAAGTCAGTGAATGAGAGTGTGATGTGGTTGACTGGCAACAGCAAAGAGTAAAAACTTAAAAAGAAGTTTGGCATTTCACAGAGAAACAATTACATGTAAACAAATGTACCATCTTTTCTTTTCTCCCCTGAAGTCAATCAGTCCCCATAAAGCATAACATCTGAAGTAGTTTATTGCCTGATATGTGGAGTGAATTTGATGGAAGTGCATTAATCCTTACTGCAAAGGCCCTGGTAAATCTCTTCCTATTTCAGTACTTTCTAGTACAACCGACATTAGAAGCATAGGATTTAACACATACACATGAATCTAAATTTCCTAGTACCTGAACAGCTTCATTATACACTGAAAATGTCAGCAAATACAACATGGAAAATCTACACACATTCAGAAACAAAACTTATCTCTACACATCCATGACCTTCTGTCCCTTTGTGATCTATACCACAGATCCGGACAAAATGTGAATTGACGCTTCCCTGCTCCAGCTTAGAAAGAGCTGGTTCTTTCATCGTTTTGTAACGTTCCACATACATCAATTGGACTGGTTAAAAGATCGTTAACTACCCTCAGCTATATTTGTACGGGATTGGATTTTCCACACCCTTGGACTGCAGGCTACATCCTGAAAAAGAGGACTTCTGACTCAGGGTATTTTTGACTCTCCGATTGCTCTTGCTTGTCTGATACGAACAAAGGTGAAGTCACAACTGGAAGAAGAGAGGCTGTCCTCAACACCAGTCTGTGACAGGAGTCACTCCTGGCCTTAGAGTTCCTGTGCAGTTCACGCGGGTCAGAAAAAGTCTCACGATTTAGATAATAACTAAGTTTTCCTCCACATCGACCAAGCCTGAATTTGACACAAATATTTTGCTTCTCACTGGGCTACAATTAATTAGCTAGAATAAGCTGAAATGACAGACATGGACCCAGGCACTGCATTCAGCAGGGTGCCACTGACTGGCATTCAGCTGCATAGTCTGCCTGTTCGGCATGCTTTTGTGTCCTGTCCGGTCAATCAATTACCGCTATCAATGCAGGTCCTCAGGATACAAAGCAAAAAGGAAAAACACAGTGGGTGGCAAGAGCAGGAGACTTGTTGCCCTTCTCAGTAAAAGCAGAGCTTTTCAGCCATTGGCTAAATCTATTGTATATGGCTATGCCCTGTAATGCTGTGTGACTGGCATAATGAAGCCACGTGTACCTGTAACGTGTGGTATGTGGTGGTCCTGGCGGTAAGTGAAGGAAGTCACTACATACACAGGCTACTTCTTATACAGCATTTTTCTGGTCTGTCATACTGATGTAATTCAGGAGACAACAGTTATGTATGAGTTTTCAACCTGGGTCCAGGAAAAGATTGTCCTTAAAAATAAATGCTGTGTAGGTGAGGAACAGCTTTGACGATGTCCTTTTCATGTATTTGTATAAGAACCTATGCTAAAAAAAAAAGTATTGCTTATCTCCTGATTTTTGTTCTGGTGTTTTCTTTGGCAAATTGATTTTCATTTTATAACTGAGCAAAATAAACTATAAATGTGGTTGGAACATTCTATGATTTTAACAACAATGGCTAAATATCAGATGAACAACTGAAGTTCAGTAGTTGCTATTAAAAATAAACATTTATTTTAAATGATGTTACCAGGATACTATTACCCAATTGTAAATATTTTTTAGGGATCTTACACAATGTCAAGGTAATACTGGGTATTAAAGGTAATACTGGTATCTGATGGAAAATATTTGGTGCTTTATGATCAATCATAAATCTGTCTAAAATTAGGAATGTCTGAGAGTGTTATCTATGCACATATGACCACTTTATTTATATTTTTTTATTTGTATTTGAAATTGAAATTCCTCTGTACCTTTTCTCATTATTTAATTAAAATTTCTTTTTTTTATGTTAACAGCATAGATTTGATCTGACAACTCTAGCTTGAAAAATCCAGGCCAAAATAAGATCGGCTAAATACAAGTGCTTTAATTATATATAAGCCACTAGATTTTCTCACAGATGAATCCAACTTCACATAGTATTCAACACCTCACTTAAAATTGCAACACTTGAGTCACAGTAAATCAGCTAAGATGATAAAGTTGTAAACTGTATTCCTCACTATGCACTAAATCTTTTGCAGTGAAATCTGACTTAGGACAGATTAGGAGAGCCACACTCTCCAACTACCAGGATGCAGAACTTCCTAAAGAAATAAGGGAGGAATTTTGTATTGTTATTACAGAAAAGAAGATGAGGATGTTAGTCATCCCAGCTAACTATAAGAGATGTTTTTACTTACATGGTTCCTGAGCCTGAATAATCCAGCTGCAGTTCTGATTGTTTGGGTATTTGGCAGGATAGAGAGGAGAGGAAATTGCTGCCCCAACTGAATCTGACTCTATGAAACTTCCGCATGCTTTAGAATGAAAGACATACACACACACATACACACATAGATATTTATATACCAAAAACACGTCTTAGATTCTGTAGTGAAAACGAATGCATAAAATGTAACATGCTACATCTATGTGAAACGAGGATAAAATTCATGACAGTAATTTATCAGAAAAAGAGACTTAAGGACTAGCTCCAAGCACCGGGTATACTTCCTTGACCTGGATCCACAGGCCATGCTACTCCAGGCTGACCATCTAAGAGAAGCCAAAGTGACCTGGGAACAGACCTCATCTTCATCAGCTCCTCATAGCCCAGAAGAGCAATCTTGGGGCCAAAATAATTTGGTTTCAGGGTAGTGCAATCATACACCCACTTCTCTGATCATTTGCCTTTGTTGGCAACTAGGAAGGAAAAAATCATAAGAAACACTCCAGAACCTTCCAATGTCCAATGATGGCATCACATTGCATTGGCATGATCCTCTTGTGAGCTGCGTCAACAAAACTGCAGTTGTGTGAAATGTTGCACATATGCAAGAGCTTGGCTGATTGCATAACTTTGGCTGAGTGTTGCCATGCCTCATTTCTAAGCATACTGACTCATCATAAAACCCCCAGATCTGAGTTTAACACACAGCTGCTTTAAATGGCAGGGTGGGGAGTTAGGTACCAAAGACTCAGATTCATTTATCGTGCTGTGCTGCCTAAAACGTCCAGTAGGGTTTTCTCAGGAAGAGGGAAGCTGGGTTGCCTACATCCTAGGTAGGGAGCACTTGCTCACCAGACATGTTTTGTGCAGGGCCTAATCCAGTAAATGTGCTCTGAGAATGTTTAACAGATTAGGCTTTCATAGCTGTTCATCAGAAATGCCTAATTAGGTATCTAACTAGTACTTCAATAACTGGGGTTTCTGAGATTTTTGCTGATGCAAATTCCTCCTTTTCTTTATAATTATTCACAATAGTTTCAAAGAAAAAAAAACTTATGGGAAAAGTACTAATTTATAGTGAAAAGAGTCCTGAGAAGAAAATGAGAGAAAGGGATTTTCTCTGCAAAAACTAAATGGCTAAATCTTGGGGAAAAATGTTTCCAAAGTTATTGTGAAAAAAAGAAACAAAATCACCAATTGTCAAATAGTATGTAATTTCATGAAAAATTCTGCCCAGTTGGTGTTATTTTCATTAAAAAGGAAACCATGTAAAATACCAATTAGTCCTCCACAAATTGGATAGTTGATGTTTGGCAGCGTTTGCAGGCCTGAATCCATGGACTTCATCAACAGTACCACATAGAATTCTTTTATAGCTTTTCAGATTCATGCGCATGGATAGACATATAAAATGTTATTTTGTCACTAGGTCTGTGGAAACTGCCAGTTGCACATTTTTCTCAGGACAGTTATGGGTAGCTAACCCTCTAGGGAGGAGGAATAAGAGGCAGCTGAGGTGTGCTCGATGCCTTGCTATAAAAAGTAAATTTTTTCCCCAATCAAAGAATCTAAGATGGTAGTTAGATTTTAAATTCTTTAGTTTATAATTTGGAGAAATTCAGTCTTGTTAGATACACACTGGTATGCTGCATGTATAGAAACAATACTTCCCATTATCAGCTGTGCTAAAAGATTGTGTCTAATACAAACAAACTGGTGATTAGATAAATGTGCATTAATGTAAATGACGAAATTACCTTCAGTAAAGCGAGCGCTGAAGCCCCTGTGCTGGATGGTTGTATCAGAGCGCAGTCGGATGTACATCAGATTTTTGGAGGATGTGACAGGAGGAGGATGCTGTGTTCCACAGAGTTTTCTAAGAAGTGGTGCTTCATTGCTAGGACCATCAAACACCTGTTATGAGAAGATCAAATGAAGTATTTGGTTTCAATATGAGTATTGAGAAGACTTTTATTTCATTCCCTCTCTTATGTTTCATACATTTTGATCCTGATACAGCCCTGGTATGAGCAGTGCAAACAAACTATGCATTGCCTATCTTAATTCTGTGACCATTTCAAAAAAATGTGTGTATTTCAGGCTGAAGCTACTGTAGCCTTTATAAGAAAAAAGCATCAAGTAACCATCTTCCTCTGTGTGTATCTGGTATGGAAGCAACTCTCCTTTAACAATCCAGCTATGCCCATACATTTATTGTTTTCTGTTAATGGCTAACATGAGTTCCCGTGTAGCTTTTATTCAGTTAAACCCTACATCTTGCCTCAGTAAAGACTTCTAGATTGGCCCTAACATGCAACTCGTGCACCAGTGGGAGCTATGACTGTGTATAAAAAGAGAAGACACTAGGATTATGGTTTTTAGATACATGTACCTAGCATCAAGGATCAGAGTCCATATATCTATGCCTTAGCTTTAGGGTGCTGAATCACACACATATACATGAAGTGTTATTTAAGTAGAAAGTAAAGAAAAGTAAAAAAAAAGAGAGGAAGAAAGTAAAAATGCGTTTACAAAACTTCACTTTTAATTTTACCACAAATGCCTTCCCTCTCTTTTTTCCCCTTACAGTTGATAATTCTATTTCTTTCCTCTCTGTTTCACAATCAGGAAGAGAAGGATAGTGAAGTTAAAACCAATGAGTTTCTAGCTTAAGCAACACCAAAATTATAACAAGAGAAACCACAGAGAGGGAAAAATGGCCACAGTCTTAGATTCTCCCACTAATCTTTCCTAGCACGCCAGCAGACGTGATTTGTTTCTGCTGTGTTCGGAGCCATAGGCCAGTCTCAGAGCCCTTGTGCCTGGTTTCAGAAGTGGCGAGCACTGGAGCCATCAGCCCAGTTGCATGACCCACACAGGAAGAGCCTTTGGGCTGTTACTGGGCAGCAACAAGAGTTGAATTCAGTTCCTGTTTCAGCATTAACATCCTGTATTACCATAGGCACTTCATTTAGAATAACCTGTGACTCAGCTTCCTATAGCAAAATGGAGAAAAATATGGAGAAAAATATGGAGAAAAATATGGATAGGAGGACTGGAAGATATCCAGGTGCTAGGATGTTAAAAGCTATATAAAAGCCAGCTTTGAGCAAGATAATGCCATTGGGTTAGAAGAAATTTATTTCTTATTGAGATTGTCATCTTTTACTTCAAAATGCCTCAAATTCCAGCAAGCCTGTGCAATGGAGCACTAATGAATTAAAAATTTCTAACTAGACTGTATTACACAATGCAATGTTTCTGCCTCCAGTATTCAAAGGCCTTTGAGCACATTAGTGAAAAAAAAAATATAAAAACAGTAGGTGAGAGAAAAGTGACCCTGTCTCAAATAAGCCTCAGAGCTGAGAAAAAAAGAACAAAAATCCTGCTTAATCCACTGACGTACTCTACATAGCCAATGCTGTATTCATGAATTAAACATTTGCCTTTGGGCCTATACACTAGCTATCTGTGTGGGACCTTGTGACAGAGTATTAAGTGTACTGCAATGTCTGTAAAAATGAGTACCTGGCAAAAAGACCCAAAATATCCATCCATTCAACCTTTTCTTCTCTCTTGGCATCCTGCCACAATCAGCCCTTTAATACATAGTGTGCAGTATTCATTTTTCCTCTGCACATATATTCTGTATATAAATCAAACTGCCTGAAGTTAAAAACCACAAAGCATGAAATGTGAAAAAAAGTAATGACTACAAAATAACCCTTAGGAATTAAGGTACTGTCTCTCCCTAGACAGTAGTGAGAGGATTTTGTCTGAATGTTAGAACTGAGAATAATCATTGCATTGACAGGGCATAGAGAGAGGGCCTGGCTACAGTTCACGTAAACTGCTGGTTTTGATGGATCTGTGCCACCCTGCACAGCTGAGGATATGATCATTGACACATGGACTGTTGTGAGACTCTAGTAGTTGAGCTTTCTCACTTGGGAAGATATTAAGGATGAGTAACATAAGAGACTACGTAGGCATTTCATTCCAAGAGCTTTCTGGAATAAAGAAGTCTTTCTGTGGTAATACAGGGAGAAGAGCATGAAGTCAGAGGAATGTTTTCTAAATCAAGTGTATTTGCTGTTTCTGGACAGCTTGCTTGAAGAATAGTACTGTCTCCTCTTTCAGAAACCCAGAAATTATTCCTAGCCTTTTCACTTGCTAAAAATCTGATTCTAGCAACAGTTCAGCATAAGCATTAGTGAGATACAGCAGCAACTCTTAGGAGTTATGGCAGCTACAAGTTAAGCAGGAACAGTAACACATGGATATTTTATGGCTGCATCATTTTTGCTCACCTGCTATTTACTACCTTAAACTATTTTACAGGGAGGATTTCATTCTTGAATCTAGATCAGAAACCACAATATTCACACACTAGTTCAGGAAAGAGTTGTGTCTCTCTGCAGCTTCTTAAAGTTATTTTGAAAACATCTGAGAAATGCATTTCTGTGGCTGCAAGAGTAAAGGAAAATGATGCATCTGCTTACTTAAAAGCCAAGTTTTCATTTGCACTAGCAGCAATTTGCTCTTCTCTTCCCTTTCCACAATGAACATAACTGAGTGACTCATTGCCTTCTTGTTCAAATGTGTCCTGCATTTTGCAAAAGCACATGACAAAAAGAAGATAATTTTTGACTTTGAGCCATAAAAACTCCACATATTTCTAGCTGTCCTCTCTTGGAAGATCCTCTCTGCCAGCACCTGGAATAAATGAAGTCATACCTCCTTTCTAGCTCCCAGAGGCTTACATTTCTACATTTCTGTGTACTACTTGTTATAGTGCAACAGGAAAGAAAAATAACATTTGCTTAAACAAAGCCACTGAAAAGAACAAACTATTTCCCCTCCCCTTTTCAGTGCCTTCCCAGCCACATCCTCCTCGAGTGTCCAAATACTTGAAACTCTTGCTGACTTGCACTCCTGGTGTACCGTCAGATACAATACTGGTTAAACACACGGGCAAAAAATACAGTAAATAGTGCATTCACTATTTCTTTCCCTCTATTTTCCTTCAAAGAAACAAATTTGTTTGTTGTAAGACACACTCTCCAGATAGAAATGGGCTGGTACACAAAGAGAAATTAAAAATTTATTCTTTATGTTCGGTGACAGTGACAGCAAAAAGTCTTCTCAAAGATCTTATGCTTTCTACAGAATATAACCAAGTTATATTTGAGATCAGAGAAAGTAAAGGTTATACATCCTCATTTAGCAGATGAAGAGATGTTCATCTTTTCTGAAAACAGATAAGGTACAGAAATTGAGGAATCAACTAAATTTAGGCAGCTAGGTGAATGAAGAATGTGCTTTTTGGTGGCCTGGACTGCTCTCTGCACACTCTATCCATTGACTCTAGAGGGAGCTCAGAGCAGTTACACCGTAGGTTACCGTTACGGGCTTAGAATTTTTTTGGCTGAACCTAAATCTGTGCTCAGATTCACATGTGAAATCATTGAGCAGGACTGAAAAATGCACTGGGCTTTTTGGAGTTGCAGCATAGCCAAGAAGCAGCAGACACGAGTATTTTCACTCCCTCCATTTTGCTCACATAACAAATGTGCAATGGAAAATGTTGCAGGAAAAAAAAATACATTTTCATGTGTTCCCCATAGAAAGGAATTTACGGTAGAAATATTAAAAAAAAAAAATCTCGAGTCATAATGCAGGGAAAAATGACTGGGTCTAGAAGGGAAAGGATGAAGGAAAAGGCCGTTGGTACACTCAAGGGTGGAGGGGAGCCCCAAGAGAAGTCACAGAGCAAATAAAATCCATAAAGATAAGTAAAAATTTAAGAAATAGAAAAGGACAGAACCACTGTGTTACTCATACACAGTAGTTGTTCCTATATTAGAGAGAGAAAAACCCCACCAGCTTCCTTAGCTGCTCTTATTTTCCATTTACGCAGCTTTTGGAATGGAATTCCTGAACCACTCACAGTCATACATCTACTTATATATTTCCAGGCACTCTCTGTCCCCTCACTCTGTTCTCCTATTGCCATGTGAGGCATATAGTAAGCCTTGGAATGAGATGAACACAAATCACATCCAGGTGTTGGTAACAAGTGATTTTCTGCTTATTGGCATACCAGGTAGAGAAAGAAACCCTATCCACTCCTTTCTTGCCCTGCTGGTCCCCCTATATTAGTATTGAAGAGCTCTTCTCTACCTCATACGCCAGAGTCTCAGAGCCCTTCATTATCTCTTAGCTTCAAATCAGGATTCACCCTCATCCATTTTCAAACCACCTTCCATTTGGTGGGCAGTGACTGATGCCTGCATTAAATTTAAATCTCCCTCTCTGCTCACGTTGCTGCTTCAGTTGTGTTTGCACAGCTGGGGCTGATGGGCAACTTCCTCCACCACCACCCCCTAAAAAACCAAAAAGCAGAAGCAAACAACAGATACTCAGATATTCATATGGCAATAGAGGAAAAGGAGTGTCACTGCACTGCAATGGTCTGCAAACTCCACTCACGCAAAAAGCCACAGCCATCTCCCCTGCCAGCTGAAGGACTGATGCCTTTCAGTGATTAAAAACCCAGTGCCTGTATCTGGCCTATAAAGGTAATGGGAGTTGTGCCTGTAACTGCAAGGAGCTCATGGAGCTGAGTGCTCTACAAAGTGTTTAGATAGGTACATACATTCATTGGCATCGGGTTTAAAAGAGAAACTTTTGTATCAGGTCTTTTCAGAATTTAGTCCTTAATTTGTGGGGGGGGTTGGCATTTTTACCAGTACTGCCATTTCAGATAGCCTGTGTTTCTGTCAGACAATGTGATTTTCTACTCCTGTGTGATATCACAGAACAGTTGGAATTTTTTTCCAATAGATTTTCCTTTCAATGATCCCCCTGATGTAGTTAAACAATTTAAATAAAAAGACATAACCATATTTCCCTATGTTTCAGAACCAGAAAAAATTGAACAGACGTTGTACAAAGATACTGTGGCCAAATGAAATCTTCAGTTCTGCTCAGCAAAATGGGGACACATTTCTTTTTTTCTGGTTCAGTACAAAAAAGCTTTACAAGGCAATGCTGTTAAAACTGATGCTGTTTTCAAGAGAGTCTCAGTTCCTGCCAAATTGAGTTCTCTGTGAATGACAGTTTATCAAGGAGAGGAAAGCTGGATTTTGGGCTACAGCCAGTGTGCTTTATCCGACTAGTACTGATCACACATGCCTTTGTACTGAGTGAAGTGCAATCTGACATCAAAGGTCGGGATTTCATGTCCCTGCTCCCAAAAGGCCAAGTGGAGATGTGGAGAGTTCTTCATTGTCATGCACTGATTGAGCAGCAACTTGAATTTCTGTGACATCAACAAAAGCTCACAAACCAACAGCAATGTGAAGCTTTTAAGAGCGCAGCAGCTCTAATGAAGCAATTAGACAGCTGAGGAGCACCTGAATACACAGTGCATATATAAAGAAAACCAGCCAGCCACAATGCCCTCTGAATATAGACCTCCCTCTCTCCTGTAACAGAGTGTGGGCAACCTATTATACATGTGGGCAGTCCATTTTATGGCTTGGCGCAAACTGCACTATAAATGGGAAAGGGTGTCATAATAACAGCCATCTATGTATGAGGTTATTCCTGCAGTACTAACTACAACTCACACCACCAAAACGAAAAATGTGGTACCAGGATGCAGCATGCACTGTGTTCAAGAAAAGATCCTTCCAGATATAAGTGGGAGCCTGGAAGAATGCAGAAATGCATTTGTGAAGCCTGCTTCATTGGTGAAGCAAAGGGAACTAGATCATAACTATTTAGCTGTAAATGTAAGACTTAGCCCATCAGTGAATAAATATGACTATGCAGCTACCAGTCTGAAATCAAGTGCAGCCTAGGCTGCAGAGTAAGCTTCCTCTTTTGCAAGCTTTTCACCAGACTCATTAAGGAAACTTTTCAAATTTCTATTGTTACTTACTTCAACATTGTCATATTTACACAAATGGTGATTTTCAATGTCAAAATCCGTGAAGTTCAATAGGACTCTGTGGCTGTAGTCAACTTGGATAACCCAAGAACAATCTGTGTTATTAATATATGGTTGAGGATAGTTTGGAGAATGGATTTCCCCACTGGTAGCTTGGAAAACACCACCACAGCCTGAAAAAGAAAAATCAGTTTTAATCACAAGCTCTGTTATGCTTAGAGAGATTCCGCCTCTATTTTCAAACTAAGGGAAGAACACCTCCATCTTTCTATTTTCTACATTAAACTTTTGTAAGATGAGTGTTCCAACTGTTGAAGTGTCCTGTCCGCAACAAAAATAAATGGAAATTACTATCAGGAAAATATAACATTATTATTATTGGTGAATATGCAACAGCAATGCTTGTGAGTAATGTTTCTTTCTAGCCCCAGGCTGGTAGTAGGTGTCGTAAAGGCTGAAGCATTAGTGCTGGTATACCTCTATCTTAGATATTGTAAAAGCAATCAATAATACCATTCATTTGAATGCCACAGACCTACCACACTGAGAAAGCAATGACTAGGCCTAGCTGAGCATAGGGGTGAGAAAACCATTTCTGAAAATAACAAGACAGCTAGGAGCTCCACTTTACCCATGAGCAGTAAAATAATTGCAAGTTTCTACTTCCCTACTCATGCAGTTGAGGGCTTCCTGAGGACTCCACTTTACCCTCAGGTATTTCTGACCAGAACAGCTCCAGTGCTCATGAATATCTAAATAGCCAGGAATGATGCATCCTGCAGGAAGTGCCAGGGCTTTCAATAGGACTAACAAACAAACAGACTTTTATATGTTGTAAAGGGACAGAGGAGGGTGAGAGAAAGACATTGCGGCTGCTGTAGATTGAGGCAGCCTGTTGGAAGAATAAAAACTATACTGTTATTGCGTTCTGGTGAGCGGTATTTTAGAGGCTAGAGAGGGGTTGGAGTAGAACAGGCAAGATGCTGTAAAGGGATGAGAAAGCTTCAGGGGGCCTAAGTAGAAAAAATAAGCCCCCAGATCTCGGAAGGGGATTAATTCAAAGGACTATTGTAGACTTCTTTTATTCAAAAAAACTCTTGTGCCTTTCTCATAAAACTTGTGAGAATGGACAAGTATAAACCTTGACAAACTAATGAATCAGTGTGCTTAATGAAGCAAAACTGCAAGAATTAAAATCTGCCTCTCCTCAATTTTCATTGCAATTATTTTCTGATAATTAGCCTTTTCATAAGAATTCCCATGTAGAGACATGTGGTTGGGTCTTTTAAGCATGCCTCTTCTTTTACTGATTACCAGTAAGGCTTTGAACAAATAATCACATGGGGGATGGATGAACCTTATAGAGTTCAAGTATTTACTAATCGCTCCAAATATTTTTGGAGTCTGCTGAGTTCTCCAAGTTAAGCCACATTCTCAGATATTTTTCACTTTACAGTTTAAAACCAAAAGCATCATTCGGCTAATAAAGGACTCTGTGTGGATGAGTGGGTGGGGAGAACTGCCAGCATGCAAAAGTTCTTTTCTGATTACAGTGATGTCTTGATTAATTATGTAAAGAAGAAACCCCAACAAGGTAGGCTGTTACAAAATACATAAATAGGCCTAGATTTCAGATAGTCAGACAATTTTTAACTCTGTGTGTTTTTCAGCATCTCTTAGTGTTACCAAATCCAGTAACACCCAAATTCTCCTTCAGTTTTCAGTCTTATGCTGTTTGACTACTTTAAATGCTTGCATGGCTGATCCACGATTCTCAGACTTCCTGAATTTCTCCTGGTATTAATCAGTATACTCACCACCCAGATTTTCTTGCCAGGAGGCATTAAAACCTTTCCCTGTCAATGCTGCATCTGTCTTGAAATGGACAATGGCTGAATTGCCAGTAGTAGAGACACGCAGTGGGTTCTGTGCTGATCTTGAAACACACAGCCGGGCTAGTCTAGGAGAGAGGAAATCAGGGCCACCATAGACCTAGAAATGGAAGAAAGACTATCAAAGTTTTTCAAAGAGATTGTCTGCCACACATACATGAGAATACATGAGAACTGTTTAGCTAGGAGAAAAAAAATCTGTAAGTATTGCAAGTGATTCCACATTTTGAAGTGTAAAGTAGCTAATAAAGTTATTTTCTCTGCGGGTTTACTTGGTATCTGAACCACCTGGCACAAGTACGAAATTCTAGATGATTTCAAAACAGCCTTGCATTAAATAAGAATTTTATGCTTTGGCGACTTTGCCACATTCTTCTTCCCCCATCCCTCCAGGGTTAGCACCTTGTTTCTGTGGGAATACAAAACCAGATTTTTTGTGTGCTTGTGCAAACAAACTATATCTCTTTGCAGCAACTTGTGCTGATATTTTATACCCTTTATGTTTAAAGGCACAGTTAAGACTGATTATTAAATTGGGGCTAGATTTCATCACTCTTTCTGATAAAACAAAAAACATTGCAGTTTTATTGACTTCAGTGGCAGAATCAACATCCAAACTATGGGATTTTGGGCAAGTAAACTACATTTTAATAATACTCTTCGGAAACAAGGATATTTCCCACAGAAGACAGGTTTTGACTTTTAAGAGTAATTATTTCCTGCTTGGAAGAGTGTGCTTCAGGCAGTTATAAACCAGAAAACCACCATTCTCTTAAACATCATCAGAAGTATTGTGTACTTTATAATGCATTTTTAAACCAATTATGTGAATTAGATGGCAGTGCTGAAGCCTTGTTGATCCTGTTTCTTGTTTTCCAAAAGGGATGTGGAATTTTAGTTCGAGCCCATTTATAACTGGTGGAACTGGCTCACCCTACTTAGTCTTCCCTCTCTGTGAAGAAAATACACATGCTCAAATGCAATTTTCAAAATCAGACATGTGATTTTGGTGCTTAGTGCCTTCAATGATTGAATTTTTTTGGCTTCTTAGAATCACAGATTCATAGAATAGTTTGGGTTGGAAGGGACCTTTAAAGGTCATCTAGTCCAAGCCCCCTGCCATGGGCAGGGACATCTTCAACTAGATCAGGTTGCTCAGAGCCCCATCCAACTTTGAATGTTTCCAGGGATGGGGCATCTATCACCTCTCTGGGCAACCTGTTCCAGTGTTTCACCACCCTCATTGTAAAAAATTTCTTCCCTATATCTAGTCTAAATCTACCCTTTTAGTTTAAAACCATTCCCCCTTTTTCTGTCGCAACAGGCCCTGCTAAAAAGTCTGTCCCCATCTTTCTTACAAGCCCCCTTTAAGTACTGAAAGGCCGCAATAAGGTCTCCCCAGAGCCTTCTCTTCTCCAGGCTGAACAAACCCAACTCTCTCAGCCTTTCTTCATAGGAGAGAATGAAGAACCCCCTGATCATTTTTGTGGCCCTCCTCTGGACCTGCTCCAACAGGTCCATGTCTTTCCTATGCTGAGGGCTTCTTGCACGCTAATGAAATGCCACCTGATATTAAGGGTCTCCTGCCTTCCATTGGTATGTCCCTGGTAGGACAGCAGCTGCAAAAGTCAGCTTGACAGTAACCTCAAATGTGAAAACTGTTAGATACACCAAATAGAGAGTGTGCTATTGTCTTTCAGCAACTGAACTAGCAATAGATAAATTCTCATTGTATCAGCATTTATTATGTACAAATCCTAAAGCTAAACTAGAGAATGGCAAGTTCTAACCACAAAACCAGGGAATAGGAAGATAAGGCAACAAATCGCATGAAGATAAGGCAACAAATCCCATCAAGATTTTCCCACCAGTAGCATCTCAAGTTTGCTCCAATATTTTATTAGTCTGGTAAACATCAAAAAGGTCTAAAAAGCAATCCATGAATTTCTCTCAGAAAGTGGCAGTACTATAAGAACCAACCTTCTATATGGCCCTTTTGCCTCTGATTCCTTCTAGATGAGGGGGAACTTAATATTTTAATAAGCTCTGCCGGATACTTTTTAACTTCAGAAGTAGTTTGGGTTCTGTCCAAGCTAAATATCTGAGCAAGTCTTACAAATAGCTGAGCTAGTCCCACAACCTTCAGGGCTAAGTGTAGTGCATTGCTACATAATTTGATTGATCGTGTGCTCACTAACTGCTCACGGTGCCTGACACTGCTCTGCAATTAGAGGTATAAGGGAAAGAACTTTTTTTTTAAACTGGAAAAAATATTCAGTGACTCCAGGGTAATGTGAGACCTCAGAAGCTGAAGTTTGCATCCCCAGAAGAAACAATGAATTAATTTTTTTATAAACGGCATAGTCTGTTAGATGTTCAGAAGACTGTATTTTGTTTTAGTGGTTGATTACACAGGCTTAATAGCTTAAACATTTCAATTTTGACTGAGACAGCACTTTTTTGCATTCTGCAGGGAGGCTGCATGATTTGAATGGATAATCGTTTCTCTGTTCAATCGATCGTCTCAAGGCATTCAAGAGAAGTCAGAATGGATGTAATCACAGCTCAGATTAAGAATCTCTAATGAAGCAATCACAGTTTGGGGAAGAAGCATGTTTGTCCACTGGAAGCTCAGTGTCTTCAGCAAAATCTTACTGCTTGGATGCTTGTGAGCCCAATGACAGCTGCATTTGTCAGAAGTCTCTTCAAAATGTGGGTTTTAAAATGTGTTTGTGGTATACTCCCTGAGTCAGAGCCACAGCATGAGATCTAGCAGGAACACATGCTCTTAATCATCTAAACCAGCCCAAAGAAGCTATGTGGCAGAGGAAACAGCAGGAGTTTCTAATATGCATCTAATAAGCATCACGGACCAGCCTCTCACATCATCTTTGGTGCTCCCTGGGGCCATCTGCACACCACAGGCAAGGGACCAAACCCAGCTCTGACATAAACCCTGCTGATTTCTGTAGTATTACCTCAGAAATTAACTTGGCCCAAGCTGTTCCACTTACAGTTGGCCTGTTGGAAGAGAATTAAGGATGGGGAAGAAATATTGATGGAAATCTAAGGTTGTGGGTCTCCTTTACGTTGTTAACTATTTGGCAATGGCCTTCTGCACATTTTCAAAATAAAAAGCACAGTCAAAGGCATGATCTTTACAGTTAGGAGTGTATTTTCTTTTCTCCTTCATGCCAGTTCAGTTAATCAGATGCTTTCACAAGGGCTGGAACAAAACCATGTTAGAATGTTTCCATGACAAAAAACAATAAAATGTTACTTTTGGCTACATAGAGGAAAACCAATAGTTACCACATGAAAAAAGAAGAGGGAAAAGAGAATGGATGGAAAGAATGAATTCCAGGGTGCGGTTCACAAAGAGTCACAGGATGTCTGAGCTGCGAACAGATAAAAATAAAAATAAAAACATCTAGTTTGACCAGAGCACCTGATCCAGAGATAAAATGATGTTGGATGGCATAGAGGGGATGCAGGACACTGCCATAAAGCCCATGGTTTTAATCTGTTCTTATCATTTGCTTCTGCCCCGTTAGATCCATTTATTGTTAACAGTCAGCATTCCAGAGTTATGAGCAACAGAAAGTTGTTTTTATGTGGTTGGTCACCCTCATGACACAGATTTTCTGGGAATAAAACTGATTCTTCTTCAGATATAACTGCCAGCAAAGAGAGAGCCCAGCTTTGAGAGAGAATTAAGAATTATGGTAATACTTGATGTTTCTTTATATTTAAATGAGAAGACCAGGACATCTAATAAAGACTTGGAAGTGCAATAGATTGACAGCGTTCCTTCCTTTTCAGCTCAGAGCTACATCTTGCTGTGGCAGAATGTATTTATAGTTTACAAAAATCTGGTCCATGTTAAAGAAAAGATGTCATAATTTAACAGAGCAGGCATGGTAACTTTTCTCTATGTATGTATTTTCAATACAAGCCATTTAAAAAATATTTTTAACTCTTTCATTGTGTCCAACATGATGTCTTCTATTTCCATGAAACATTTCTAGAAAACACCTTTAAGAACAACTTCAAATTTTCTTCTGGATGCTTGTAAAAGAATGGAATCTGATGGGGAAGAGAGAAAGACAGAGTGCAGCAGTGTCGTAAAAGAAACAAGGAGGAGGATTAAAGGAGAATGTGTCAAACACTTGAGCATGCAGAAGCCACGTAACTATTATTGCACAGTCTTGGTGAAACATATGGCAGGACTGGGATACTGACATGGAAGGGACAGCTTGTTTAGGAGGCATTGTCAAAGGAAAGGGAAAGGAGACAGTTGCTGCATTTTACAAGAACCAATATGCTTCAGAAAAATGTGCAAGAGAGAAATATTCAAGAAACCATCGTATAAAAATGAAGTTAGCAGCAAAAGGGCTGCAATGGGAAAGATCTCTTAGAATTTTCCTACAATTCTCTGCTGGGTCAAAGGGGTGAGGGTGTTTCTAAGCAAAAGCTAAATGCATCCAGGTGAGCAAGTTTTGTGATTACTGGGGAATTTTTATTACAAGGTAATACATTTTGGAAAAGCAACAGAAAAGAACATAATTTATTGCAACGTTCTAAAGACAGCTTCTTATTTCAGAGAGTAGAGAGAGTTAATGGGACAGGGAGGGACAGTAGGGTGCAGAGCTACTTTAGTACTGATTTTGACTTCCTATTAAAATTGGAAAGTTATTTGGCTTGAAAGAAAACAGGAAGCGGTAGAACTCACTATTCAGAGATAAGGAAAAAGTGAAATCAGGAGAGTAACTATGAGAAAAAGCAGACTTCAAAACCCAAAGAATTGGTAGACAGGATACTCTTGGGAAGATAATGTAAGTTTGGAACCTTAGTGATCACTGAAACACACTGTGTCAAAGGCAAACCAGGAACCCCTTTTTTTCTAACACTTTTCAAACTTTTGTGTGTGTGGTTTTCAGCCTGGACATATGTCGACAACTACAGGAAAAAAGATTACAAGATAGAGCAGCTCCTGAAAATGGTTAACCACGTTCTTTTTTTTCCCCACTAAATCTGAGTTATCATTTATTCTGTGCATACTATATCAGTCATGCTGTGAATGTGTAATTTTGTAACAAAAGCGAGAAAGTATGTATGTGCAAGGTATCTAAAGCTCCACCAAATGCCTGCAGTTTGGCAAGGGAAGCTGTTCCCTGCCAGGCAGAACTTTCAATCTTGCACTAAGACATGAACCAATTTTCCCCAATAAGTTGATTTACATTAGGTTCTCTGTCAGCTGATCAGAGACAGGTGTTGGGAACTGGATGAGCCAAGGTCGGGAGACAAGTAATTCAGAGGCATGCCAATTCTGAGGACAGGAAGGTGGGGAAGTTCAAACAGCAAGGTGGGCATCTGTGCTGATGAATAAGACTGGAAAGAAGTAAAGCATAGCAGCTAAGCTTGAAATGGTGAAGAAAGAAAACCCAAAACCTAAGATGAATACCTTGCTTAGAGACACAGACCAGCAAACTGTAGGATCCTCTTAAACAACTTCTTTAAGCAATTTGTGTCCGGCAACCCACTCATTGGTTTTAGGCCAGCCCCCCCACTAGTCAAAAAGTTGTCAAGCAAATGGTTGCCAGCCATCTGTACTCTTACTGGATGTCGATAGGTCCTGGGTGACCACCTACAGATGTAGGCATTGTCCTTGCACTCTTCAAGAAATGGTCAACCACAGCAGACTTAGGTTTTGGGCTCTTTAATGGATTCTTCTGGGCAACAGAGGCATAACTGAAGCTTACAGACAGATTAGCTTCAATCTAGTCATTTTAGGCACAAACAACAATGAAGCTGCAATACAACAGACTTCATCAATACCCAAACCAGCCAACACGGGTCACCTACTCACAGGCACTGGTGTCAGCAATGTGACATACAGTCATACTTGCCAATGCTACTGACGGAGAATTCATGGAACAACAACTTCCTTACACCCAGATCCTACAGAAGTCCCAAAGTCAATAGGATACTCAAAGCACAGTGTCCGTTTGGTCAAGACTTCCACTTCATTGCTAAGCTAGGGAAGCCTGTTTCAGAGCCAGAAAGCTGGAGTTAAGTTATACATCTCTTCTACTCATACAAATGCTTAGCAATCATCTATCTGGCAACTGTATATTTAGGACCTGCTTTAGCATGTGGATTAAGTCTTCCAGGAATATTGCTGATGAATGTGCACTAAGGACCATAGGCTGGAGAAATCAAAGCTACAAAGGTAAGAATAGGCAGCAGTGAGTATGTGTACGTGCTGGATAACAAGCTGTCTAGCTGTATGCCAGTCACACATCACATTACCCAGGAGGAGAAGAAAGTCCCCAGTGGAGTAGTACAGAACTCTTAATCGATCTTTTGGGTTCATTACAAAAACATTCAAATGTCACCCATGTATTAATATTGAAAGACCCAACAACCATACCTCCATTAGTGATCTCAAATGTCTTTAGTGAAAGCGATCTAGAAAGTCTATACTTCTAAAGAATTTCTTCCTGAAATTACTTCCTATCCCTTCTTCCTGCACTGGAAGTCTATTCAAATCTGTTAGCTGGGATTGGTCACCTGGCTGCTTCCCAACATGAGCACAAAAATATCATATATAACAGGACCATCCAGTCTTACGGGTGTCTTAAAGGTCAGTAAACCCTTAGAGAGGCCCTTTTTCTCCTTGTTCCACCACCCTAGGCTGACTAGGACACTGCCTCTTCTTTTATTCTTTTTTCTGGGTACAAAGATTCTTCACAGTTTTCAGCACTCAGGGTTATAAACCTCCCCACTTCCTTGGAATGTCCTACACAAGGTCTCACCTAGTTATCCCCCTAGTGATCCATTATCTTCCTTTACATCAGGAAATTTTATCTCCATGGTACAGCACCCTACACTTAGTTCTTTGTAAAAGATGGACTTTTTAAGACTGAGTTTTTCAAAGCAGTTTTGTCTCTTGTTAGGAAGTGGAAAGTGCCTAGCATCATTATGAATTAAGGTATACAGACACCAAAGGCATAAAAGCAAAAAATAATAAGAGCATTGTGGTTTCTGTGACAACATCTGTGGAACATAACTGTAACTGCAGCAGAAATGGGAAATTGCAGTAGAATTGTTTGTTCTGCTCCTGCAGTTCTTTGGATTATCTGCTCCAGACAGAAAAGCATGTAACTTGTGTATTTTTGAGGAGTAAATCTAGTGCTCTTACCTCCAGAACATCATAGTTGCAGTCTGGGTGATATTCAATGTCGAATTCCTGAATGGTGAGTTGAATGCTGCTACCAGGCGCTGTGTGAATGTACCAGATGCATTCCCTATTGCTTGGGTATCTTTTGGGGTAGCCAGGGCTGTGAAATGAACCAGAAGGGCCAGAGAGTTCTCCTCCACAACCTGACAACACAGCAAAGCAGGCCATCAGTGAGGGGCTCTGGAAAAACTCACTGACAGCTCTGCAACAAAGACAGGCATTAGCACCCATTTAATGCACAAATGTGTACACTGGACTTGAGGGTCTGCTCTATCACAGGGAACCGAGGTCTAGCAGGGAAGAGAAACTCAGGAACGGCAGGCTGGACCTGCTGGTACTGCCCATGCAGCAAGCACTTCACCTCCTGTTTTGGCATGTTTCTCGCCATACCTCAGCATCTGCTTTGACAGCTGAAGAAACTGAGACACAAAGCAAAAAAAGTGACATTTTTTTGTATTGGCCTCTGACTTTGATCCGTTCTAGAAAGCTGAATCAGATCCATCCTCAGCTGTTACTGACCTCAACTAATACACAAAGTTATCATGGGGAGGGCTTCCTATTGTTGTAAAAATGCCATTTCCCACTGCTTTAGAAATCATAAAATTAAAGACAATGCAATTTCCCTCAGCCCACTGAGCATGATTACAAGCTGCCAAGTCACAGTGGATAAACTGGCTTTCTGACATTTGGTGGATTTAATGTTCTTTTATATTGAATTGTTACTGTGCAATTTTAAGACATGCCATGTTTGAAAAGTTATGTATTTTCTTTTCAGATAAGAAATTATTGTCCCTACCTCATTCCCCAGCCCGTTGGGTGATCAAGTTCTTGCATATTATGAGCTAGATTTTAAAAAAAAAAAAATGGATCAAATGCAGGCCCTGATTTGACAGCAGAAAGCGGCTGGACACCTGAGACTGCAGTTTTATCATTGCTTTATGGAGATGTGGCAACTGCTGCCCTTGCCTCCTTTTGTTGAGTTCCTGGGAAGAAATCTCCCTGACCCAGTCCCCGGGGTGCAGGTGTCAGCAGGGTGGGAAGGCACAACAGCCCTTCCCAGCGTCAGGGCAGATTTAGATAAGCTACATTCACGGTGAAACCTCAACTTTAGAGAAGCCAGTAGGGTGGCTGTGTATCTGTCACATGCAGAAAGCAAGGGAATTGTGTGTTTGATCTGATTTTACGTGTGTGTCGCTCTGCCTGGCAGCAGCATTTTTTTTCCTCTCTACATTACAAGCCCTCAAGTGCTTCATTTAGGCATGAGCTAATCTTTTGCTCACACGGCTTTTACGGGGTCACTCGAGCTTTGTAAGTAAAGCCGACACTCCATCAATCTCTTTGGCTTCATCTCCAGAGGGAAGGTCCTGTCACATAGCAAAAAAGCCCCAAAATACTTAATAAAACCATCTAACAAACCATGAGATGTATATTCCCAGAGGCAAATACTGCGGTATGTCAGAAGTGATAAATAGCATCTGTATCAGAACTTTTAGTTGTAGGAGATATTTTATAACATAAAACAAATAAACTATCCCTCTGACCTGCTCAACTAATCCACACAGATGTGTAAAACTCCCCTGATCTCTAAGTCTACGCATAATTTGCAACTCGAACAAGGTATCTTTGGGCATTGCTCTGCTTAACACTTTTTTTTTCCTTCAGGAAGCTATAAATCAAGATCTACAATTAAATGCAAATACTTTCCTCAACACTTTCTGTGGCAAACTTGTGGTTATTGAAGGGTGGCTGCTGAGCCCCAGAAGCATTTGCCATTATCTCTACCATGGGGTCTTTCAGCTCCTCACTGAAAACTTGAGTTTGGCTTTGCCACAGTTGGCTCTAGGACTTCTAGGACTGCAAAACACAAATCTATGAGAGGAAAGAGCAGCAGGTCTGAAAGGGAGCAAAGCACTAAGAAGCTATTTTAAACTGAAAAAGAGCCATCTAAATGTGGATATGAGGAAGACGTCTCCAGCCATGCCAGCAATGTAACACAGATCTCTGTCAGCCCATCACCCACTACTCACTGAAAAACCACCTTTCAAACACAAGAATTCCCACAATTGAACAATAGTTAGTTATAACCCAGGAAAGCCTTTACATAGCTGAGGTTGACCTCACAGATGAATTGGCACGGGCTTAGTTCTCCCTTTTTCCCCACCCTGCTGAGCTCCATAACCCTAAGGTGGTTTGCCCTGCAGCCACAAAGCTATATTGTCAAGCTATCGGATGTCTCAAGCAAGGAGTAAAAGAAGCTTTTAAGTGTATTTGAAACCAATCCTGCCTTCAGTCCCTCTGGAGAGAGAAAAACAACAGAAAAAGCTAGCGCACTTCCGTGAGGTGGGTAAATGTTAAACCCCTGAAACTTTGATATCCATGAATATTTCAGCAGAGAGACAGAGAGGAAGAAAGCTTCAGGGTAACCCACCATCCCATTTTTTTTCCCAGTGCCATCAGAAGATGGCCTAATTTTCCTCAAAAGAAACCAGATTGTTGTGTTTTTACAACTGGAGAAAAAGGGGGAGGGAGCCTTACAGTTGAATTTGCAGGGTGAGTTACTCTCTTTCTTTTCCCTTAGCAGCAGGAACAACACGGCCGCTGAGGACAGACTTCAGGAGGGGAAAACCCGCCTTGCCAGCTTGGGAAACAGAAAGATTTCTCAAACAGACTTGATGGCTGGGCTCCTGAGGGGGTGGGAACGGGGAGGCAGGGGAGTTTCAGCAGGCAAGAACAAAGCCAATTGCTATTTATCTCAGCCTGAAGAAAGCTGGGAACATTTTAAAACTAAACAGGCAGTTATGACTCAGCTTCTCCTACTAAGAGTTTCCTGATAGCCACAAAGGCATGTTTTTTATTTAAACCCGAAGTGGCTCAGATGAGTGGAAAGCTTGTGTGCTGCGCTTTGAGGCACAGACATTTCTTTCTAGGCAACCCTTGCAGGTAGCATTCAGATTACTCACACTCCCTCTCCAGAGTGGTTTATATTTTCTCTGAGCTCAATCGATATTCTCTGGATGAGGTATGTGAAGCACATGAATAAGAATGTCAAACTGTTGTTAATATGCCATTTCTTTTCTTCCAACTACAAATGTTCCCAGAAAAGGCTTTTTGTTCAAAGAGAAGTGATTCTTTTCAAGTGCTCCAGTAAAAGGGAGGTAAAGTTTAGATCTCTGTGATTCATTTCTTATAATGAATGTGCTGAACTAATGTTGCCAATCATTTATTAATTGTTTGCAAACAGATTGGAAATTGCTTGAGTTTATGCCTAAGTATTCACTGACTAATAGCTGAAAAAAGGACTCGCTGATCTTTGCAAATATGTGAACTTCACACCTGAACTATTTTGACTGACCTGCATATGGAAGCAGAAACCTCCGTATCACAGCAGAAACATAATCTCTGAACTCTGTGGCCAACTGGCAGAAAGTCTATGTATTATGTTTGTGCTCTTATATGGATGAGGTAAGAATCAGTTCTGTTGTGCTGCTTTGAAAATATAGATGCTAGATGATTTTCACAAAATATTTACAGAAATACTTAAGAGATCAAAACAAATGTTCCTGCCTTTGAACTCATTTGCTACATCTATGGAACACTAAAATGAGAAAAATAATGATAGAAAAACTTTTTAAAATGCCTGCAAAAAGTTGTATGTGAAAGATTTGCCCACCCTTAGAACAACAAAAAAAAAGAATTGTCCAGGAATACTGTTTCAAAATGAGAAGCAAACTTTGATTCACCAACTTTGCTGCTTATATTTCAGTTCCTGGAACATTATGGGTCCTTACTATTCACGAACCTCTTGTCTTGAATATTTTAAAAAGGTGAATTTAGAATTTGATCCCTGATTTATTCAGTGTCTTCCCCATTTTCATTAGCCACAAAATTCTTGTAGCATTATCCCTTTCTTTGGTTGGATCACAGATACACGCCATCAAGGAAAACTAAACTGCGAGTATTTTTCATATCATTTGTGTATTATCTATGAAGACAGATTCCCTGCCTTAAGATGCTTATACTAGGCTTTGAAATCTGCCTTGGCAGATACTTAAAATAATCAGAAAAGATATCATACAAATTACATTCATATGAATGCTGTTCAGGCTGAAGATGTAGATGCAGATGCATATTTATTTACATACATATATGAATATATGTGAATATAGGTATGGATTTTGCATTTAAACAGAAAACATCAGGAGAAATGCCAGTCCTGTTTTTCTGAAGCTTGCATTTGTATGTACTGTATCCTTTTCCCATTTTTTGAGCAAGCTAAGAAATACATTTTTATTTAACCTGGAATGTAATTTCCATACAAAAGTAGCCTTGCTACTTTATCAAGATATTGAAATAGGAAAAGTTTAAATGATGATGTAATCATCTCAGCTAATTAAACTTCTTCCATCTCTGGCATCACCATTAAATGAATACAAACCTTCTCCCAATGTTTACATTTGTCTGCAAACATCAGATTAGAGTTTGCTTCTATTCAAATAAATGGAATTTGTGCTGTTTATGGCAACAAAGTAAAAAAGATTTGGTCTTTAGGGGTAAATAAAAATGAGGAAGCAGTACCTACAAATTGCTGCATGACTTCAACTCTCACTGAAATAATAATGAATAATCTGAAACCATTCTGCTCCTAGTGAAACATCTTTAAAAGTTTTTCTCAGCACAGAAATACACAGTCTTGCTGTATGTGGATAGCTGTACAGACAGCTGCACTGTGGAAAAGTTTCTTGCAGCTGAACTGCATACGGCATATGCTCAGTTTGTGCAGAGACCTCCTTGCAGTCATTTTGGAAACTTCAGCCCTGCAGTTAAACTGAGAAGAAAACAGGGAGGGGAGATGATACTCTTTCAGTAGTGTAAAGGTCCTGGAATTCCCTTGAAAAATACTTAAACCAACTATCTAACCTGGTGTTAGTTGCTAGGAAATCAGTCAACAAATAGAAAGCTCAGGAAACGTATATTTGGTGTCTTTGCTTTCCTCTGGCTAAAATCTATGTAGTCACTGAAGATTGTGCAAGGGATGATTTATAGATGTCTTTCCATATTACTGCCTGTCTGGTTAGCAGATGGTGTTCATTAACTGAAGAAGAATCCCTATTCTCATAAATAATTATAGCTGAATAGAGAAGTAGTGATCTGTGGAAACCTCTATTATTTGCAAGGTTTTCAGATTTATTCATGGCTATGTTTTAGCCACATGCTAGAAAAATCCCTTCCATAAAGTTTAAAGTGAACTGGCACTGTTCCTGTAAAATCAGAGTTAGGGAAATGAAAGGATTCAGAGTTTTTCCATTTGTTGTGCTCATGGTGAAATATTTCAGTAAATGTTAACTGACTCTAGCTGCAAGAAGCATGTAGTATGAACATTTGCCTGTACTACACTGATACTTGCATGAAGTATAACTTGGATTTGATTCTGAAATCTTTTGCTCTCTTGAGTAGGTTTAGTTCATACAATATTATCCAATGGAGCAAGTGGGATAATTTTTGTGATGAGTGTTTATGCAAGAGAGTAAAGATTCAAGTGAGAAACTGTGGGTTTTTTCTTCTTTCTGATTTGTTAATCACTGCTGTAGCTTTGATTATTATTGTTTTATCAGTCTCCTGAATTCTGGTATTTTCTTCAACATGTTCCAATCTGAAATCAGTAAGATGGATAATAAATAAAGATAGACTACTGGGACCCAGACACCTAAAGGCAAATTTAGACATCTAAACAGGAGATGAATCCTCCAAGATACTGAATGGCCACAGTTCCCATATCAGCTGCCAGTATTCAGTGTTAAAAAAAAGTCATTTTCTAGCTCTCAGACATCAATTGAACAGTTCAGCAACAAGCATTTTAAGAAAATTTTGGCCCTTATTCTTGTATATTAGTTTGGGGGTGGGGGGAGGTCCAGTTTGCTGAAGAAACAGAAATTAATTCATCCTTAGCTCTCATAGAGAACATATCTGTGTTTTTAATGGCCCGACTGCAATACAAAAAGCCAGCTCTGAACATGGTATTACCCACAACTCAAAACAACTGCTCAGGACTTCAAAAGATCAGACCCTGTGCATCCTTAGACTTAATGTGACAGAAAGACACTGAAAAGGAATAGTCATTTTTGAAAACTGAACAAATGGCAATTTGTCAAAGGCTGCACAAGAAATCAACAACTGAGTTATGATTCAGGCTTACGAAATCTGGGCCTCAGCTCCCTCATTGACCTGCAATGCAATATTATCTCCAGCAATCCTAACGGATGCCTGGCAAATGTCTGCAGCGAATGACTTCTGCATCCTAATCTAATCTCTGTTTCTGTTATGCTTCCTGAAGAACTAACAAACTATTTCACATTTTACCTGGCACATATACTGAAAACCCCAGTCTTTAGTTATTGTATGCCTTTTAATAGTTTTCATCTTCTGAAAATACAGACCCAGAGAAATGAAAACTTCTCTTCTCATGAATCAAGTGGCTTTCTCCACACCCTGTCCATCAATCATTTCTTAGGGAAATCCAACAGAAAGAAGATGATGGTGAAGGAAAAGAGCAATACAATACTTTGGGGCTACATAATTCTTTCTCAGTAGTGTGCTTTGCTTCTTTTTTAAAGGGGGAATCAATGTGTCACAGAAAACAGAATACTGGGCGCAAATTTTGACTATGCTGAGAAGAGCCACTTGAATTTATAAGCTCTACCGACAATCAAGCAGCCTAATGAGTAAGCTTCCAATGAAATGCAGATGTATATATAAAGCAGTCAGCTCCTACATGCACATTGCTTAATAAGGTAAGTGACGGGTCTAGGAAATATGTGTCTTCTCAGATAGTGACAGTTGTCACTGGTGTAATTTTGCACTGAGAGACCTTTGGCCTTTTGGCCTTCTGATTTTTTTTAAGGAAAGCAATTCAATTGGCATGCCGACTTTGCAACATCCAGACTGTTACCAAGAGTTTGGTCTTTCTCAAAAGGCCAAAATATGCCCCAAAATATATCTGCCTGTACTAAGCTTCCTAACAAACAGCAGAAGTGGAATGAGCACTTTGCAAATTCAAGCTTTCCTCTGGTGAATAAGCCTCTTGAGGCCTTGGCTGCAGAAGAAAACATTGGTGATTTAGCCAAATCAGTTGTAAATCCAGCTTCAACAATGAAAGCCCCTTAGATGAACCATGTTATTTCAGAACCAAAATCACTTTTAAATTGAATTCTTTGCACTACAGCTTTCCATCCAAGTTAAAATTATATAGGATGCTTTTAAGCACAAATAACAGCATTCTCCTAAGATCAGTTACTAATTCTGCCTTCGGGAAAGCCTAAAGACTGGGTTTCCTTCAGCAACCCAGATTAGCAACTCAGCAACTGAAAAGCAGCGGCTTAGCAACTGGAAAGATCAGATGCAAATGTTTTAAACTAAAACGCTTCAAATTTGTGTTGTGTGTGGCAGCAGGAGCTCTTCATACCAGTTATCAATGAGGTAAGCTTTTGGCTTTTTGTGATCACCTCATAACCACAAGCAAAGCTGCTGGAAAGAGT